TCAATAAAATTTTATTCATATAGTCCCACTTCACAACAAATGTCATCTCTAGGCAATTGACAAATAAATAAATAAATTCAATCATTCATACATACATACCAAATGATTCTAATTATCAAATGGTAAATTTTCTGTTTTCAAAGGCAACCAGCACGGCTACCTGTTTTCTTAGCCCTAAATATTTGAACATTATGTAGCGACGCTTCCATAAATTTTAAATAGGAAAACTAATCATTAGATTACAGTGTTTCTTAATCAACATACAATCGTTATAGATTGAAGATAGACAAAAAGTAAGTACAAGCACAAAATCCCCCATAAGATTCCAAGTTTTTGTTTGTTTGTTTTTTTCTGTCCCTGATTACTAAGTGGACACAATACTGAGGACATTAACATTGAATCTTGTTTTCCAGAATACTACACTTTCTCTGCTCTACAAACATCACTTTAGATGCAGCCAATGCTGTTGTCTTTATGTGTTTGTTGCTTTTCCAATCATTTGTCTGTAAAAGTCTGTACGTTTGCTTTAAGGAAAATTACACTTGTCGTCTTTAGGATTTTGTTTCAGACTCAGATGCAAGAATCAAACCCCAAACAATGACCTGAAATGTTGTTTTACTGACTACCGAACAAATGCCTTAAAGATTCCTCACTGTTTGGCATCTTACCACAACAAACTCCCAGTGAGATTCACAGAAGGGTTCTTTATGGAAACACCCTCACAAAGTTGTATTTACCCAGTTTCCAATGCTGGTTCCCTTCCCCAGCAGTCACTGGGCAAGAGGAATTTAGACCCAGGAGCTTCTTTCTACAAGGCAACAGTGCTATCAACTGTTTTCAACTAACAATGACGTGATAAATGCATGAAAGGTCTGCCTAAAAAAAAAAATGCCCAAACTTATTGTTGATTTTGTTTTTTCTGTACAATCCCTATGAAAACATTGACGTTTGTTTAAGGTTTAAATGTCAGGAAGTTTGAAAACCTTTGATTGACAGCTGGTTTGTGAATGAGTCCAACAACTCTGTTGCCCATGTGGAAATCCAGCAGCACAGGAAGCAAAACAGTAGGAGCAGCAAACAAATCAGACAGCATGCGATGTTTCCGAATGATATGTAAACTTTGAAAACCACACAAAAGTAAAAAAAAAAAAAGAAAAAAGAAAAAAGCCAGCACTGCAGAATCAGAACTGCTTTTGTAATGTGAAATTTATGAAACGTGTATTAGACCGGGATACTTTACTGCAAAATGTGAACAGTTGATTTTTGTAAAATCGCAGATAAAGTCATTAACTTGCGTAGATTCCCACGTTACCACACACTGCCGTCCTTTACATGCGTTCGCATTGGTGTGAAGTCATTCCAGGACTTCACATTAAACATGTGGGATCCAAAATCTTAGCTGTGGGTAATTTCATCCTGTGTAAACTGACCAGGAAGTGAGCTCCCACGACCATCTTCCACTCCCATGCTCTTTTCGCCTGAAGTTATGTCCGAATTTGCAAACTCCGGAGTCTTCTTTCCCTCTCAGCCTGAGCCATCACAGGCACAGATTCTCTTTTGATAACCTCTCATATCAGGTCTCACATGTTTGCTTTATGGAGCTTTTATGTGAGCAACATCGTATCTGTCATGTTGTAAAAAGTGCGGCCAATTCAGCTGTTGATATCAGCCGTGTTTTGACAGATATTGTCTGGTTACCGTTTCCAGTCAGTTTTTCTGGATGTGCTTTCTTGTGTTTTAAATTACACACTCATAGTTTCTTAATTTTACTGGCAATACTTTATATCTATAAAAAATAAGTACATAAAACACATAAAGTTCGCAAAGAAAGAGTACTTCTTGGGAGGGGGAGGAGTGCTTGAACAAAACTCTTAGCTTCTTTTCAATCACTTCTTCCATTTGATGAGGGATTAAATGTTTTACGCAATTATTGCAATATGAGCCATTCTTTCCCTTGATTTTGTAATTTCCAACCGCTCAAAGGAAGTGACTCGTGAACGTTGAAGAATATTGTCGTTTTTCTTCAAAAGGGACGTGCAGAACTTTGCTGACTTGCCACTTTTCAACCTTAACAAGTTGGAGAAAAGCCACAGAGGGAAACGCATCCCAGTTTGAAACACACTGAACCGGAAAATCATTAACAATGCATGCTTTTGTGTCTCACAGCAAAAACAAGGACTTGATGGAGTTCTTGTAGTTGTAACCTCTCCACATGTACAATCGGCCGTGTTTCATTGAACATAAAGCTAAAGCGCTAATAAAACAAGAAGGGAAAATAAATGGCATTATAATGGAAATCCATTTATGTATTTAGGAAGAGGGTGATGTTTTTTCTCGGTGATGTTAAATTGGTTTCATATGTGAAGGTACAGGATGTCCACAAACCAACTGCACATAAATTATACCCGTAACCTCCTGAATAAATGCGATAAAAAACCCAAAATGTTAGTCGTTTTATTAGAATTGCAATCAGTTTTTTTTCCTGTTTTTATTCTAGTCTTTTCTTTCTCACCTAGAACTAGCGTGAATTTTACCATTTGGGATATGTACAGAGTTCCAAAATAGTCCGGGAATTTGATTTGAGATTTTTATGGAGCAGGCTAAATATTGAAAGCAAATGGAAAAAAAAACATACTTAATTAGATAAATCATTCCCTATCCTACGTTCCATGTTTTCCTCCTATTTTGCCATCCGTCTTCTCTTTCTTGTTTTGATCCTGGTGTCTTTTTATCTAACCCTTCCTTGTGTTGTTCTTACTTCCTTTTCTTCTGCTCATTCCAGAATTCTGTCCTGTTGATCCATGTCAAAATCTTTGTCCTTCTAGTCTTGCTGCCATACTTACCTTCTTCCTTTCTTCCTGTCAGTCATTATATCAGATGTTTTTGCTGATAGATCCTGCATATCATACACATCTGCCATAAATTCAAGTTAATTTTTTAATAGGGAAAAATAGGGATTTTTTTTTTCCATCAAAATGTGTAGGAAAACTAAGTAACAAAGAAGGTAGAACAATTGAATAGACATTTTTCTAATAGTAATATTCACAGGCTTGCACACAAAAACAACTTAACTAAAATGAGTCCTTCCTCCATCAAGAGAAAAATATGTTTTTGTACTGAGCAAAGGAGAAATAAATTGTAATTATGTATGCGAAAATGGCAGTCAACACATGGAAGTGTTTTCCTTATTTGCTTTGTTGTATTAAGTTTGTTCCAGATTTCTCTACAATGTGCCCAAGATCACAACACACTGAAAAATATAGTTGTTCTTTTTTGTTTAGGTTTCCTTTCCTTTCCTTTTCTTTTTTTTTTCTTTCTTTCTTATTTTTAAATCACTGAACACAAGAAATATATCAAACCACAGCACTACAGGCCTCCATGGCAACCAAGTTTCTCAGTGTCTATTAACTAAGTATCTGCTGCCATCTTGTGGATACTGAGTGAATTTGTTTCTGTTGGTGTAATACAGTGTCTACACGACAGGTGTCGCTGAGTAGCCATTTTTTTAACGTCCATGAATTTGGCTCAGTCGCCTTCCAGCAGCTCCCGTTGTGTTATGGGAATAAATACTCTTTGCTGTGTGAAGTCGCCACTAGATGTCGCCGTATTAGTTTCGCAGTTCACAATAATTTAAACTGAGGATTTTGACATTTGACATCTTTTACTTCCAAGTCAGCAAATATGAATGTTAATTATACACACTGATTCAGCTTTTCTTCTTCTTTTTTTTTTTTTTTTTTTTTACTTTTTCTCACATTACAACCACAAACTTTAATGTATTTTCAGGGATTTTTTGCGAAATGATATTCAGTTTTATGTTTTTTTTGTTTTTTTTTTTTGTTTTTTTACAGAACCCCTTTTGCTGCAGTCATAGCTGAAAGCTTTTTGCTGTGTCTTTCTTTTGTTTTTCATAATCAACTGACCTATGTTTGTGAAATACTTACAGGGATTAAATGATTAAATTATAATTTAACTCTGCCTCAAATATTTCCACAGCATTGTCTCTGACCATTCTGATGTTTTATTTTCACTAACATTCAGTAAGAAACCTCTGAGAACCTTAACAAAACCAACTCTAAGTATTAGGTGATTTTAAGGGCAGTTGGTGACACAAGATTTAATCTGTAAAGGACAGTAAAGAAGGCTGAAATACAAATGCGGGTCAAATATTTTTGTTTTGTGTAAAAAAAGATAAATGTTGAAAACCATCTTTCATTTTCATTTTTTTCTTACGAAATAGTGAAGAAGTGTCAAACCTTTGAAAAAAGATCATCATACAGGACACAAATCTTCAATACCAGGAGATTTATTCAGCACATCTGTGTTCACATTACAAATTCCACAATTACAGTTTTAAAAAAATCCAAAATCTCTTATTTCTTAACGGTTACAAGATTTTTTTGTATAAGTTGATATCCGCTGGTACAATTTTTTTTTTTCGCGAGACACTTTAGCACCTTTGTGTGCCTCAGATTCCTCTCATCTGTGATCAAGCGCCCTTAAATCTAGTGCAGAAAAATAAACTCTTATAATGATGTATGGAAGGATTCAGAGTTAATCAAAGGCCTGTGATTAAGGACTCTTGTGCAGCAAGGTTTTGATCATAATTCCACTTTCCCAGTCTCAAGAGCTTAATTTACAGTGAAGGATGCGGAATCAAAATTGTGTGCTGATTCTTTTTTTTTTTTTTAAATCACTCCTCATTTTGATGTATCGTAAAATACGGGTCTACGGGTTTCTTTCAAAATGATCTTCGTGGGGCTGGCAACAAGGGGCAGGATTCCACCTCCTTTTCTGCCCTCCCTCACACTCCTTCTCCACCCTCTTCCACCTCTCCATCCATCCCTCTCCCCTCACTGCTCTCTCCTTCTGAAAGCACTTTTTTCCCCCCACCCCTGTCTCTGCACCGTGCCAGATTAGCAGAGGAGTGAAGGAGCAGAAAGAGGAGCGAGAGGAGAGGACTTGCCGATCGGAAGAGAGACAGACGGGGGCGAGGGACCATGGCTGCTCTCTCCGCCTTGCTGAAGACCTGGGTCGTCCTGCAAACCCTGTGCCTGGCTCTGGCACAAGTGGTGAGTGGATGGGAAAGGTTGAGCCCTGCCGGACTCGGGGGTGTAGAGGGATGAGGGCCCTCGAAAGGGGTCAGCAGGCTCTGGATGTCTTGACGCTGTGAGTTCATGTGGAGTCTTGATAGCAGGTAGAACTAATTAAGGAATTGAGGAATAAGGCAATGCAGACCCGAGTGGTCACTGACGAGCTTTAAGAGATGATCGAGGTAGAAATAGAAGCTTTGAAAGTTTTTCTTCTGTCTTGCTGTTTAAACAAGCAGCACCGGACTATTCTCTGTGGATTATCAGCCTCAGGGTGGATGGATTTTCAATTCTTTGAAGCCAATAACTTCCGATTGGAGGATTGTCGATGACAAGGATTTGTCTTTGCCTGTTCTACTCCTTTTTGGGGAAAGTGCACACATATTTCTAAAAACAGAAAATGTCTCTTTTTTTTCTTTTTTTTTTTTGAAGCAAACATGGAAGCCCTTGAAAGACAAACATTAGTGCACACAGATGCAAATTCACACTTCACCTACAGACAGTCTTGTACATTCCCGTACCTTCATCCTGGAATTTCTTCATTCTTCTTCAACATGGATTACTGTCATTTTTTATTTTTTGTAAATTGATTTTTTTTTTTGTATCACAAGAGAGACTGGTTGAGGTGAAAAGATTAGGGGCTCAGCTGGGGGGTTAAGGTGGGGGTAAACAGTGCCGCCCTCATAACCCCTCCCTCCAACATTCCTCTTCAATTCCTCCACCTTTACCTCATTTACTTAACATCATCCCTTTGTTTTTAAAAACTGTTGTCTAGTTCTGTTGCTTTTCATCTCCATATGAACTTCTAAGGCATTTATATGACTGATATGCTAATTTATATAAATAATAAAAGGGTTACTTATGCAAATCAGAGTGCAAAATCCATACAAAGTATCGTCATTATTATTTTTACAGGTTTGCACACACTTGTGTTTAAGACATGCTTGCATTATTGCTTGGGATAAACAATAAAACTGTCTTGGTTGCTTATTTAGGGATGAATATTCTCTACACGGCACATATTAGTAATATAATTCAAATCTACACAGTCCTTCATGCGTTTTCCTTTCTCTCTGTCTTCCAGAGGGGTCCGGGCGGACCTCCGGGTCCACGAGGTCCTCCTGGCATTCCTGGCTCAGATGGCATTGATGTGAGTATCCGTCTGTGCATGTTTGCCCGGTGCACATTCTCACAAAGATCGGTATTGTGACCGCTTCCTCACCGTGCAGTACCGGAGTTCTACCAGCAGATGGGGCTATAAATAAAAACACACTGGCACAAAAGGGCTCTGTTCCGCACTAGAGAGGGGTCTTTTCAGGGGCCGAGCGCCGAGTTTGTGTCGCAGTAATGTGATACATGCGAGTTATTTAAAGGAGGCAGGTTGTGTGTTGTGCTGCTCTGGTGGGAGGGGGGGCAGGAAGCAGCCTGGCTGTGTGTAGATAATATTTGCTCTAAAATCAAATGAAATAAGCTTTTCGGAGGATGTTTTTTTTCACTCAGCAAAAATAAAATTCAGTCAGTTTCAGTTTCATTAGAGACTCCCATGTAATGATGAACGCCACTCTTGACTGGCGTCTAAATAAATTTACAAAGCTTAATAATGGAGGCTTTGCGGCAGGACAGTGTGTTATTACAGAGACGTCTCAATTTTTCAAAAGAATATATATTTATGAGAAATTACCCTTTTAACATTGCGAATGCCTAACTTCTGTTTGTGTTTGAAAATGTGGATTATACACTTTAAAATGTTGGTCGAATTGAATAATTCCTTGTAGTTCTGTTGTCATTATCCAGGCAAATATAAAAAATAAAATAATTGTTAAACCTTCTTGCTTGTGCAGTACAATTAACACAGCTGTGTGTGTTTCTGCAGGGGGAGAAAGGACCGCCCGGTTCCCCCGGCCCACCGGTGAGTCCCCACTGCGTCACTATTGCTGTGAAGGCTCAGTCAAAGTAATTGTAAGCTCCGATTCACCAAGACATCAACTGCCTTGCTGTTTGTTTCATTGCAGGGACAAAAGGGAGAGCCAGGAGAGCCCGGCCCCGATGGACCCCCCGGAGAGAACGGCATTGACGTGAGTGAACAGGTTGTTGTGAGGCAGGAGTTGCTTGGATGGGAGCTAGAAGGATATGGGTCAAACAAGAGGCTCACCGAAACAACTTTGAATACAGATATGGATTTTCATATGCTACAACTGCAAACAAGTGGGACTTTGTCTAATATATGTCAGCGGAAAATGGTATGAGAATGATATAATATTTTACAAACAAAAATAAGTAGGGGAAAAAAAAAAAAAAAAAAAAAAACTCAGTTTTTTCTGTGGGGTTTTAATCTCAGGGTAAATACAGCTGTTCCAGAAACCCTCAAAAGGTTTGCTACACAGTGCTGCAACAGAGACTCTTCTCTCAAGTGGGAGAATTTGAAGAGAGCCATTAGTCGTCCACTCCACACACACACGCCTGACCTCTGTCTCTCTTTGGCAAAAAGAAAGCCTTAGGAGGGAAAAAAAGCAGTTTGCCACTAGCCTTGTAAATGATACAACAAACAAGTGAACGAATAACACCAAAATACAGCATGTTGACATACGAGCAAAATATTATGCGTGGTAAAATTGTGAATGTGTTATTTTTTTATTTTTTTATTTATTTATTTTTAGAAAATTATTCCCTCTGATGAGATGTGGGAGATTCTGCAAGTATGCAGATGCAAATTAAGCCCTCTTATTTACTTGCTGCCAGTGCTGCAGCAGTCAAAGGGACGATGATAAAACCATCAGAACACTTTAAAAAGTTTCAAGACTCCAAAATGGACTGAGCTCGAGCTGTTTTGCAGAGGGTGGGCCTGAATTTCAGGCGCTAGGTATCTGAAGCTAGTTTGTTGTGAAGCATTTTACAAACAGATGCCACAATTTCAGATTTTTGTTAGCGATATTTATTTTTTATTTTTTTTGTAAAACCAGGTGTTATTTCTGCCCCACATCACAATTATACACCACTTTTTGTTGGTCCATGACATAAGGAGGCTCATATATTAGAGATGTGACTGACAGTAGTAGGAAGTTCAATTAAAAGGAAGGTTTGTGATACATTTCAGGGGTGATATAAACAAATAATACCTGGGTGGTTTACACTGTGTCAACTAATACACCTATTATTACAATTGGATTACACGTTACTTTGCCATACAAACACACAGTTAACCTTGTAATTACTTAGAAATAATACTGATATTAAACTGTGCTGCAGCTTCTTAGGCCAGTCATTGCATCTTCTCTGATTCAGTCTACATCAGCAGGAAAGTTTAGTTTCACTGCCAAAAGATCACATGCTAACAAAAGCTCACCCATGCAGGCGTTCTGCAGAGATTTAGCCTCTAATCCGCCCTGGAATCTCAAGGTTTATTTCCCAAATACCTACCAGAACAGAGTCGACTTTAATCAAGGTTAACCCAGTTGTAAGGTCACGTATGCCCCCCTGGAAAGCGCAGTGTAAGCAATCTGCTGCCTGGTGACTCTTTCTGTATTTCATTACTTTGCCTTATATATACTATAGCTCACTGGTTTTTATGCTTTTCTGTCCATCTCCAGGGTTTGATTGGAGCAAAAGGTGATCGCGGACCAATCGGTAACCCCGGCCCAAAGGCAAGTGTTTTGGCTGACTGGATTATCCACCAATACATCACTGCTGTGGGTGGAAAACATCCATTTCAGGAAGGCATGAACAAGATGCCTTTCACTTAAAGTATTTGTTCAATTTCAGTCTTGGTACACTGTAGGAGAAACATTTTTTAGTCAGTAAGTTATGCATCTCAAAACATAAAACAAACATCTTTAGCAGGTCCTTAAATTAAATAAGCTGATTGACTTACATTGTTAGATGCTCACAAAAGCCAAAATGAAGGGTTAGCATTTGGAAAAAACTAACTTACCTTTTTTTTTCTTTAGAGATTATATGTGTGAATAGCAGTCATGTTTATCCAGTTGTGAGCACATCTGAAAAACAAGTTGAAAATGGTCGTTTTAGAGAACGAACGATACTGCAGAGAAATAAAAAAAAAAAAAAATCCAAACGCAGGAAACTTTCTACAGATCACTTTCTGAGCCCTGCAGTGCATGCCACGCTGTGCGGTCTGATCTCGGCCCAAGGTAGTCCTACTGAGAGAGATTATAAGAAATGTTGTATCTGCAGGCCTCATTAACATGCTGGACGCTAAAGTTCAGCACAGAAAAATCCAGGCAGAGAAATTGTTTGAGCGCGTCGCCGGGAGGAATCTTCTTTGAGAAAATACCAAAAACAAAACAATTTTTTATCTGAGACGTTATGATAGCATGGTGTACAATCTTGAAATGAAGTCAGAGGACTGTCGTTTTATTGCTAATCTGTAAATGCACAAATTGAAGCAATTACATAGAGTAACAATGGGTGTAATAATACTAAAAAAAAAAAAATTTTGGTATGTAGAACAATATTTTAAAGTGTCCATTTTCAGGACAGTAATATTAGAGCAAGTAGACTTATGCAATGCATTTTTACATGCCATCATGTATGGCAAGCAAGGGGTTTCTCAAGACTTAGACTGTTGATGTTTTCCATGGTTTCTTGCTCCTTATGTTACTTTATTTGCTGCCTTCAAATGCTTAGCACACAGCACGGAGTTCCACACTCGTTAAGCAATACGCAGCTTAATTCTGTACATAAGGCTTCACACATTTAATACATGCACTGTTTTCATCCCATAGTCAATTGGACTGACCTTTGTTTTCATTTGCAGGGTCAACCAGGTCCAAGTGGTGAGCCTGGACGTCCAGTAAGTGTCACGTTTTCAAAAGAACTCCCAATTAATGCTTTTTAGAAATAAGATCAGGAACACCTCCCTCCTCTTTTCATACTCTCTCAATAAAACTAAGGTACACCTGTGTAGCTTCTTAAGACAAATAGTAAGTTAGCAAGTCACAGTACAGCAGCTCAATGTATTCAAAAACCTAGATTTACTGTGGAAAATTTTGCTGAACTTCCTAACTCGGCATCAGAATGAGGAAGAACTGGGATGTAAGTGACTGAATGTGGCATGTTGTTGGTGCCAGAGTGTTGATGTGTTGGGATTTTCTACACACTACCACTACTGCTTGGGATTTAATGTTAAGAGTCCAGAAAGAAAAAAACTAAACACAAAAAAGGAAATTACAGACTAAAAAAAAATGTTTCATGGACCGTTGAGTTTTGATTTCAGTGACATCATTCAGGTTGTATGGTCGGAATTTGGTGTAATAGTGTGAAAACATGTCTCCTGCTTTCTGCCAAAGGTTTAGGCTGGAGGTGGCGTAATGGTGTAGGGGAGATTTTCTTGGTTCATTTTGGGCTCATAAGTGCAAAAAAAGAAAAAAAAGCACCATTTCAACTCCACAGCTTTCCTTGCGAATAGATGGTGACCAACTCCATCCATTTAAAATCATACTGTACCGGCCTTCTGATGACTACATCCAGCAGGTTAATGCACCGTGTCACAAATTTACACTCAACGGGCTTCTCGAATATGACTGTGGGGTGACTGCACAACCCTGGCTTTTGAAGTCACCAGATTTCATTCTGATAATGGAACTCTGGAATGTGGTTGAAAAGTGCATTTGAACTGATGTCCAGCTGATAAATTGGCAGTCATATTTTGTGCATAAATCCCTGAAGAATGCTTCTCACATATTACTGAATCTATGCGATAAAGATTGAAGATAAATGGGGGCTTAATTGTTGTACTACTTGTACTGAAAGTAAACTGTACCGAAGGAAAATGCTGCTGAGTTCAGATAAAAGCAAGTGGAGATTATTTGATGTTTGCATCAAAGCATATGTTGGGATTTGGGTGGTTGTTGGGAGTAGTTTCCACCAAACATGTTTAAATTTGCAATTTTTTTTAAAAAGTCCCTTTTCGGTTTATTGCATTTTTGATATTGCAAATACCTAATTAGAAATAATAAATATTAAAGATGTAACAGGTGATAGAGCTTGTCTATGAGCTATGAATGCGTAAATGCTACATTGACCCTGTTGAAGACTCCTCTAAAGACGGCCCTGGCCTTCTGGAACCTGTGATGCAAAATAATTGCAAACATGATTTAAGCAACATACAAGAAGGTTGATTTTTGATATCTTAATGCTGATATGGAGTGTCAAAGTATCATTCCATAGGATTTCGTCAAAGGTCACAGTATGTCTGAAAGGAACTCGAGTCGATATCTTGAGTTTATGATGATTTGGCAGGCAAAGCTAACTCACAGTTTTCATTGCTCGTCACAACTTATCAGCTTTTGTAAATAAGAAGACGTTTACATGACCGAGGGAATCTTGACGCTGCTTTATTAGTTGATGCCTAGATGCTTTATTATCTAGCATATTTGTATCCCAGCTGGCCTTTTTGTCGTGCCTGAATGTCTAACCAGCTGCACCCTCCCACCCCCCGTTTTAGCTCTCTGAGGCCAGATGTGACGCTGCCTTGAACTTATAATAGAAGCGATTCACACACAGCCTCTCACACACGCACGCAAACAAACCAGCTTCAAATTTACATGTAAGCACAGTCTGACGCCACTAGGTGGTGCTCTGTGTCTATCTTCCTCACACCCTACAGCAGAACTGCAGGTATTCAATGTTATGCTTGGGTGCCACACAATTAGTTAATCCTTTGTTCAGCATTATGGGGCGTCCCTGTTTGGGGGGGCGGGCATCCAGCTGTCTAACGCTGCACTGACACAAGATCCTGCCCAGTGGGCTAAATTACCTCCATGAAGGCCTGATTCCTTAATTATCCTGTTAACGTTGATTCTAAGTAAAAGACCAAGCAAAACAAACTGCCAGTGTTCTGAGTTTGTGAGCACTGTTTAGCCTCATTCAGTACACTACACACGTGTTATCAAATCATTGCTTTTTTGTCATTGTTTCAATTTGCAAAGCATCAGTCAGAGTCTGATAGATATTTCGGTAACACTTTATTTGAAGGGGGTTGAATAAGACTGACATGACACTGTCATAAACACATGTCATGAACATGAATAAGCCTTCATGAATATTTATGACTGTTGTCATAAAGCGTCATTCGGTAAATTATGACACTTTTAATACAAAGTTGACATGATTCAAAATGCCGTTGTTATGACAACTTGACATTAACCAAGAAATCATTACTGATATAAATTTGTTATAAAAGTATTACTGATTGCGCTTTAAAAATTAGGTAACTTTATGTTATTAAAGGTAAAGTTTAAACAGTAATGATTTCTTGGTTAATGTCAAGTTGTCATAACAAAGACATTTTGAATAATGTCAACTTTGTATTAAAAGTGTCATAATTTACCGAATGACGCTTTATGACAACAGTCATAAACATTCATGAAGGCTTATTCATGAATGACAGGTGTTATGTCATGTTTATGACAGTGTCATGACAGTCTTATTCACCCCCTTCAAATAAAGTGTTACCGATATTTCTGTACCACAATGAATTAATCCTACTTCCTCTTTCTGTTCCACACAGGGAGTCGGCCTTCCAGGTCTGGCTGTAAGTTGCATGTTTGCTATTTCACAGAAATGCTTTGATTTTTTTTTATTTTTTAATGGAAGTACAATGGATATATTCTAATGTTCTTTACTGCACTATTTGTCTACATTGCTTTGTGTGCGTAGGGTGCCCCAGGGCCAATTGGCCTTCCAGGTCAAATTGGATCGCCTGGACCAAAGGTAGGCCATCGGTTTTTAGTGAAACCTCCCCTGTTTGATCAACTACACTGCTGTTTCACTGTTTCTATGGATTATTACCCCAGTGACCATAATAAAAAGCATCTTCCAGTCATATCCAATATGTCTCACAGCAGTTTGCAGCAGACAAACAGCAGAGGTTTGTTCGAGGTGAATTTAGAAGTGGCTGAAGCCATCGACTTTTATTTAGGGGAAAAAAGTAGCACGCAAATACTGTAGCCTCTCTGAGTAATGATGGAGTTTATTTGACTTAAATAGAAATTACAGCAATGACTGCAGGTAGTCATACCTTTAATTAAAACTTACTAAAATAAGTCATTAAAATGGCATCAAAGGTCTCTTCATAAGCATAGTGTTATATTTCAATTATTTCAAACCGGACACACAACACCAACCAATTCCAAGCCTGACATCAAGACTAGTTTTTTCTCATTACCACACCTACCAAGACTCTGTGAATGACTTACACAGTGACAGTAGCTACTGTCATAAAATGAAAGGCTCTTCTTATTTCCAAGCAGCGATACATTGTAACAAATTACCAGCCTTAAGTCTTCTGATTGCCCTTGCAGCAGCAGCAGTGCATTGCAGTTACCTGTCTTACTATAGAAGGCTCTCGCCATCATCTACACGCCACGGTAGCATCGATGCTAACAATCATTTGCCATCCTTGCAGTAAAACAGGAAGCGTTTCTCAATTCTGCCTCCTGTGGTAGCAGGAATACATTGCACTCAATTGCGGGCATCGCAGTAGAGGAGCAGCTTCTATTTACTGCCACCGCAGCGTGGCATTAGTAAACCACCCATCAGCGCAGCAGTAGAGTTGAAAACTATTGTTGTATTAGGAATGTTTTTTCAGCCATCTGCGGGCCTAGCAGTAGAATATAAAGTGCTTCTTGGAGGCAGTAGATAGAGAACTCGTATTTACCACCACCTTGTGGTAGCAGCAGTACACTACAGCTGCCCGCATTGGAACAGTGGAACTCGATGCCCTTCTCATAACCGAGTCTGTTTGCTTATTTTACTTGTGGCTATTTTCTGTTATCTGCTTCATGTAGGGTGTTTTGGGACCACCAGGTCCTCCAGGACTCCCTGGACCTCCAGGCAAACCGGTAAGTGTCAACTGAAAATTGTTTGTAAAGGGAAATTGTGATCCCTAACCGCAAAACAACAAAGTTGATCCTGATGTCATTTTAAAATAAAATGATTTTACTGAGGATGCATATAGTTTGGGAAAATCAACATTTTAATGTATAACAAATATTTGTTCATAAATGCTCATAAAAACAACAGTACTATATTTGCTCTGAACCTTAATCAAAACTTTACAAGGAATTGCATTTTTCAAAAACCTAAAAAAAAAAGAAAAAAAGAAACTAAGAACTGACTGGATATTTGCATCTCATACCAGGTATAAAGCTCATGCTCACTGGATGCTAGCGCTACCAAGATTTAAACGTCTCCAGTATCTGTGATGTTTAAATTTGGCTTGAAGTTGCTTCAGGGGAGTGATTAAGTTCAGCGAGCTGCTGTCCATACGTTACTGCTGTAGAAAAACGCCAGTACGAAGCTTGGGTTTGGTCCGCCTTTCTTTCTCCTCTGTAGCTGCATGAAAAACCTTAATGTTCCCAAGTAGAGTTCAGCGAAAGTCGGGATTCCTCTCTGTTTTGTTCTGTTTTGGTGGAACTTTTTAAAGTTGCTCGTTGGAACTTTGCATTGCACACTTAGTTGTGCACATAGAGAACAATGCTGCATTCGGTCAGTAATACGTGCATGCTTTAAATAGGGTTGAACCGGATACAATCAGTACGAACACTCGTCCAGTTACGATATACCGCATAAACAGATACACTCTCAATAATAACTGGAGACATCTTAGTTGATATTACAGTAATCAAACTGTTCCTACTATTGCTGACCATTTGTTACCCTTCTGCATGTTTCCACTGATAGTTTGGTAATGCATTTTAAGTCTTTTAGGGTCCTTTGCCATTACCCTCATCTTTAACTCCCTCTCTAACAGCTTCAACTCAGACGTGTGACTGGCCTTGTCCAAAACATTCATATGACTTCCATTCAGACAAAACAAGGAGAAAAAAAAAGACTTTAAATCTATTTTCACCAGGGTTATGAGTAATTTTGGACTTGATGATATGCCAGCCTTTTCTTTTGCACAAATTTCTGCAACAGTACTTCCAATAAACCACAGAGTTCTGCCTGGATGAACTTTAAACTTCACAATTTCCATATGACGACATATGTTGCACCAAGACTGCGGAGATCAGTGAATGCGCGAACGGGTGTACATTAGGCTTAATTAGGCTTATGGCTTTGTCAGTCTAATTGAATGTGCCTTATGTCGCCGGATGTGATTACAGGGCGAAATGAAAGGCCTTGACAAACTACTAAGATTGATGATTGTTTGTTCCTGCAGAAGAAGAGGTTGATTTTTTTTTCTTTTTTAATGCATGAAAATACCTGCTGTAACCACAGTGAGCTGTTTATATAGGTCCCAGCAGACAGAAAGTGTTGAGGCAACCAAAACAGTTCTGAGAGTTAGACTTTTTTTTTTTGAAGGTGCATGACTCCCCTGTGTGTTTCTCCGAGTGGCTCCGAAAGAGCGGGTGTGGGGAGAGGGAGTGTCTTCACCTAGAATGATGTTCACTGCCCAAGGGAGTGTATTTGTTTAACTTTAGTGCTGTCCTAGGACAAATAAACCCCTATTAGATCAGTGGGGTGTCTCATCTGAGTGCAGCAGTAATACATCAGTCTCTAGAGATACCTCACTTCCTAACTTAATCTATAAGCAGAGAGATGGAAAGATAGGGAGAGGAATCGCTGAAAATAATGGGGAGAGCGCTGAGTCAGCGAAAGGGGGGTTGGGTGGGTGTGGGAGGGCCGGGGGGGGAGGTAACTCTTTGCCAACTGAGGCCAGCAGACTTCCCTCATGCTTGTGTCCAAATGCCTGTCTAGGGTCCTCCAGGCAAGTTTATTGGTCTCGAGGAGGGTAGTGCAGACTTGCAGGTAAGATCTTTCACAACTAGTTTCTTACATTTATTTATTTATTTATTTTTTGGCATGATTTCACTTCTGTTAACCCGTATTCTTTTGCATCTCTTAAAACAGTGTCCTCTCAACTGCCCAGCAGGACCCAAAGGCCCTCAGGGACTTCAGGGTGTAAAAGTAAGGCTTTGCGTCTCCCTGTTTCTCCCGTTACAAAGTTTGCCGCAGCACCGTCCTGACTAAAGCGTTGCTCCCCAGGGACACAAAGGGCGTGCCGGCGTTCTCGGAGACCCCGGCAGCATAGGGAAACCGGTGAGCTGCGCGCTACACAAGCACCTGTACATGTATATGTTTTCTTTTTTGTTTTACAGTGTTGCACACTCAGCCACTGCTAAGAGTCACAGGAGGCAGGGATTAGTTTTAATGAAGCCCCCCGAGGCACATGACTGCACTAATCTGGCAGCGATTAGTCAGGCCGGAGCTCGGACCTGCAGTCCGCGTGCAGCGGTGTGCCAGATGAAAGAGACGGTGCAGGAGCCAGGTACATGAAGGGGGAGGATGAGAGAGTCAAGGTTCAGGCAGACCTCTCACCTCACCGTTTTAAGCAGAGGTAATGAGCACACCGCGGACTCCTGGGGAGCAGCTAGCCGAGTCCGAGGACTTAGCCTCTGATCTTCCCACACAATGAACCTTCTGGCAGTGCTTAGATTCTGAAAAACACTCGACTCACCCGATAACCACTCCACACAGGCCCAGCTTGGATTTCAGAGGGCCTGCCTTGACTCAAGGTTGCTCTGTCTTTTCTTCATCTTAAAGACACCCGCCAGGAGCTGTTAACATCTCCGGCAGGCTGCTCAGGCTGAGACTCAGATGTTAGCTGAGCAGAAATGCTTTACTTCCTGCATGCTAAAATCACTTGTGAATAAAAAAAATAATAAAAAAATGCTGAGGAGGCCACTCATCTTTATCTCGGCTCCAGCAGAAAACAATGTGGAGGTATGGCACTTCAGGAACTGTTAGACGGCTCTTTTAACACAGCTGACTGAGGATTATCATACTTATGCCGAGATGAGTTGACTATCTCTTATAGACACAGGTTTTATCTGGTCTAACATGTTTTCAAACCTTCGTTTCTGTCACTTCTGATTTTCTGCCTGTAGCTGCTGAAAACAACATTTACTATTTGAATCTTGCATCAAATTGATAAAAAAAAATAAAATAAATAAATAAATAACACTACAGAAATGTGAAAGGTATGGTTACTGCCTGCTCGAAGGCTGTTATTTTCAACAGGGACTATTAAACTGACAAAGGAGCCTCACTGTAGCATATTTTCAAATTTATTAAAGAGGAACGTATATAGTCAGTGGACAAAATAGCAATTTGGACCTGTATAGCCAACATCATTCAACATGTATCATGCACACTGCGTGCATCTGTGTGCATGACGCAGAGTTTTATCAATAATTCTCTTATGTTCACTTCAGCCTCAGTTTTTTGACCCAAAGGCATACATTTTTCATGATAACTTTACAGGGGGCAATGATGTGACGGTTTTGTATATTTTCTACAAAGAACTAGAAAGAAACTGAAAATAAATTATAAGGGGATGACTGAGAATATCTGGGTATTAATTGCTCAAATGATGAAAACTGTAACAGGTCAAATGAAATTAATTTATAAAGTCCATTTCATTGTACCAATGAAAACCATTCACAAATGTAGAATCAGCATGTTTGTAAGGAAAACTAGAAATAAACGCAATCAACAAGACGCATTAAAAAAAACACCAATTCAAATTTAATAAAAAACAAAAGTTTTTTTTTTCTTCTTTTGACTCGTAAGTATGAATTTTAGTTTAAAACTCACATTTGTTGTAGCTGTAACTTCTTGTCTGCCTGTCCTCAAAATCCAAAATGGTCGTTTCGCACATGAAACATCTATAGCAAGATGACTTCACTTTGAAACACGAAGCTCACTTTGAGTTGCCCACCTTCAGTAATAACGTCCACACCGAAGCTGCTGTTAGCACAGCCTGCGTCAGTGCATCTCTTATAGGCAGAGATCATTTTTGAATATTTTCAGAAACAGTTGTTAGCATTTACATCTGATTTACATCTTACAATCCCTTTCTGTGAACGTGATTAGGTGCATAGCATTGACACAACATACGAAACCCTGACAGGTAAGGAGAGCCATGACAAAACTCTCAATAAATCACATTTTTTGTAATCTGAAGATGGTCAAATCCTGTCCATTAAACATGCATCCCATTTGATTTCCATTGGAATCAAAGCTGGGAGCGTTGTTAAACCGCAGCTGATCAGCTTCCAGTGTTCAACAGCAAGCATCAACGTTCGAGTTAAGATTTCCCTCTGGAAATTTCACACTCGAACAACTCTGACCCCCTTTAACTCCGACCCGCTTTGCATTTTTGCAGCAATGTACCTTGAAGTTCATGTGTTTGTGAGGGAAATTGGGATCTGTGTGGGCAAATTTGGATTGGACCATTAATTTTTGATTAGCTCGCTCTTGCTGGCTAATTAGTTTCAGCTAGAACTTTATCAAGCTTGACTCAGCCAGTACACAGTATACAACCATCAAAGGCCGGTTAAGGCATCAAAAGAAACCGTCTAAAACTGGCTTTGAAAGTACTTGCTCTCAGGTTTTAAGTTTTCATGAATGAAATGTAACACACATACGCACACGAGACCACAATTTGACCTTCTGTTAGTTTGGGAAATTAACAAGTCTGTTTTATCTTTTTTTTTTTTTTTTTAAACAGGGACCCAAGGGAGATGTTGGTATCTCTGGGGAGCAGGGCATCCCAGGACCCCCGGTATGCCACAGATTCAAAATTAGTTAATGCGCATGGTTGTTCGAGCTCAGCACAGGAAACTGGCATTTGTAGTGCTCTGTTCTCCCCATTACTTCACTGACTTTTCCTTTCCTTCCAGGGTCCGTTGGGTCTGCGGGGCTATCCAGGAATGATGGGTCCTAAAGGAGAGGCCGTGAGTGCCGCGCTTTGTTGTTTTCGATTCAGACGGAGTCTTGTTGTCGCTTTGCTCTGCGGATGCGGGGCAATTCAAATTCTGTGCTAAGCACCAAGAAGGCGCAGCACAGCCTGAGCCCCCGTCTATACAAACACCATCCATTACCAGCAATGGGGACATATGGAAATGATGCTAACACAAATCTCTCTCCTTCTCTAATGAGTTGGGGTTGTCTGGGTCCACTGTGACTCCATCTGTAGTTAATGATCCACTGTAGCCATCCATCTTACTGTTAACATTAGCCAAGTTAGCCAAGTTAGCACCCCGGCTTAAAGCCAAAACAAGAGTGGCTGGCTCTCTGCGCTGCTCCCATTAGTGGAGTGAGTTAAGCACTAATTATCCCTTTATCACAATAAATAATAGGCTTCTGCAACTTAACTTTCCCTCTGATCTCAGGTGATTGATGGCACTTTGTTGTTCTCCGGCAGGGCCCTCGTGGATACAAGGGCATCGTTGGACCTGTAGGAATTCCTGGACCGCCTGTGAGAACTCACACACACACCCATACACACACACTTACTTCAAAATAAAGTTCCGATTATTCTAAGGTATCCTTTGTTGTTGTTTTTTTGCAGGGTGAGGAGGGACCTCAGGGGCCACTTGGGGACTCAGGAGAAAAAGGAGACAAAGTGGGTGAAACCTCTACAGTCGTTGCCAAACAACAACAGTTATCTCTGAAAACTTTATCGCATGGCACCGTGCGCACGCTGAGGCAGACACATTTGTTTTCCGCAGGGCGGCCGAGGCATCCAGGGCCCACAGGGGGCCGTTGGCAAAAAGGGGGAGAATGTGAGTGAAGCCTCTTGTTTGTGTGTTCGCTGATGTTTTCAAAGAGCGTGCCAAGTAAAGTCCTTTGATTCATCGTCCGCCCGCTATCCCAGGGTCTTCCGGGTATCGATGGAAAAGACGGCACACCTGGCATTCCTGGAATCAAGGTAAGCGTGCACCTGCTGCTGCGACGATCAGAGTCTGGAAAAAATGACACGTTTAATCTTCTTTTCTTTTCTTTTTTTGTTGATGTATTTTATGTAGGGGGCTCCTGGGCAACCCGGTATGCCTGGCCCTCCTGGTCCTGCAGGGACAGCAGTAAGTGATTTTTTTAAAAAATTTTTTATGATTGTCCATAAACCTTTGTCCAATTTGTCACAGAACAAAATCAAATTCCAATGTTTCTTCTTTTTTCTTTTTCTCCAATTTGTGCAATCCACCAACATAAATTACGGCATAAATCGGAAATAATGTGACTTTATTTATTTATTTTTACAATTGCAAAAATGAAAACATTATGGAATATACACAAAACCACCCAGATTATAGTTGGCTGCCCAGGTTGACAGGCTGGGTGCAGAGGCATCAATCTGAGAAGCAGACACACCGTTGCCATGGTGAGACATGGTGGGGGAAGCATCATGCCGAAGGGATCAATCTCAGCCGGTTAGTCTGACAGGGAGATGAACGCAGTAATTCTGAAGGAAGACGTCTTATAGGTAACAAAAACGTGAGATTTAACTGGAGGTTCACATTACAGCAGAGAAACAACTCAGAAATACAAGCAGAACTACAATTTAATACCTTAGATAAAAAGCTTATTCAGGTATTAGAATGCTCCAATGAAAATCCACATCTAATTCCGGTTAAGATCAGTGGGACGACTGGAACATTGTTAGACTCTGTGTAATCTCACAGATATTTGACAAAATTTTAACAAATTTTGTCAAATAAAGACATGCGAGATACTCCAGACTTTAATTACTTGACACTTTTCTCCATCTTGACTCAACAAAACCAACAAAACCAAATCACACACTCACACACACAAAAAAAATAAAAATAAAATGTTGCAGTAGGTTGGAAGCAAACTCATACGTTTGAGTTCCAGCTCTGGTTTCTGGGCAGTCGTCCAGGGTAACAGAGACCCTTTGACCCACTCTGTTTTAGAATACAAACCACCTTGAAATGGCTCTCTGCTGCCTCCACAGACCATTTATCATTATCAGGCCGGTGGGGGAACACACAAATGTGTGTGACTGCGTGTGTGTGTGTGTGTGTGTGTGTATGTGCTTATCTGCATTGTTTTGACTAAGAGGTAATGAAGCGCGAAAGGCACACTTTGCTGTGTGATCGCTCCTGTGACACTCGGGCTGCGACAGACTCAAGCTCTGGAACTTGGAATTTTTCTACACACTTAAACACAAACGCGCACGAATGAGCAAGGCAAAGCGTTTGGCCCTGGCTCGCAAAGGTGGCTTTGCTGTGCCCAGACATTTTTTGCCACTTCACTGATAGCAGTAACACAATCACGTTTGCACCGTCGGTTTTGCCCTCTGCACGCATACACGGAGTTTGGATTTGCTGTGTTTTAAAAGCTGTGCTAATTTTGCAGGGTTTGCCTGGCACACCCGGAGGGAAAGGGGAACCTGGAAGAAAGGCATGATTTTACATGTTTTTTATTTATTTATTTATTTTTTTTTAGACATTTGTGTTTTATTTCTTACTGCATTTTGTTGCTTTTTCAGGGGGAACCTGGACCGAGGGGCCACAGTGGCATGCCTGGTACTCCTGGTCCTTTGGTGGGGAACATAGAATTTATACATATATGCGCACATAATTATTCTTTTTTTTTTTTTTCACTGGTGGATCAAACATTGAGAACAATTGTACACGTTTATTATCCCTCTGTTAGGGTGAACCAGGTATTCCTGGAGAGCCAGGTATGGAAGGAGTTCCTGGACCTAAGGTAAGAACCGAAAAAAAAACAATAATAATGAAAAGTAAAAAAAATAAAATAAAAATAAAAAAAATAATATATATATATATATATCATAGAAATAGATTTGTAAAGTTTGTATTGAATTGCCATTGTTAATACATTTGGTGATATCAATAAGTAAGTAAATAAATCCTACCTGTTTCCTATTTACTCAAGCCACAGAGCTAACATCACACCTATTCCTGCAGGGAGACAGAGGACAGCGGGGCCCAGTGGGGCCACAGGGAGCCGTTGGGAAGCCCGTAAGTTGCATTACATAATTATTAAAGCATTTTTTTTTTTTTTTTTTTTTTAAAGATGATTGCAAAGTGCACACTAAACACCATATTTATCTTTTCCAACAGGGGAGCAAAGGAGAGAGAGGGCCTATTGGTATCCCAGGCCCACAGGGACTTACTGGGACTAAAGGAGACCAGGTTTGTGAACGATTTATGTAAGGAAAAATATGCAAATGTAAAGTTATCCACACATAGTGTATACATTTTTCATAATCATCTAATGTAGTTTAGCAGGCCTGACCATTGGGGGCAGCATTTACCAGTGAAAAGAACTCAAATGAGGTTCACTGTAGATCATTGAGTAAGGCAAGCAATATAAATGATAATCCAAGCATCCTCATCTTCCTTGTTTCGGAGATGAGACAACATTTTTCTTTCCTCACAATCTCTGGTGTCAGTGGCCTCAATCAATATTTAGTTCTTGTGCGTTTCGAAGGATAATAGATTCTGGATGTAGCCACATTCGCATGTACCCACCTCTCTCCCTCCCTTTCTTTTCCTACCAGGGCTTCCAAGGAAAAGTTGGTCCGAAGGGAGACATAGTGAGTAGAACTTTCTGCTTCTTTTTCAAAAACGAGCTGGTCAGAAATCCAGAGCTTGGTGCCCGCAAGATTACCCCCCCCGCCCCCACCCCGCTTTGTTCTGCTCTTAGCTGTCTCCTCTCTGTTGCTTTCAGGGCGACCCGGGTGTCGAGGGATTGGCTGGCGAGAAAGGCGAAAAGGTAAAGACGGGTAAAAGCGCGAGGCAAAGCCGTGTCAAGCTCCTTGTTGCAAAGAACCGCAACGAAGTCTGTGGATAGGGAATTTTCTCTCTGAAGATGAGAAGATTCAAATGCAAAACGTTAAAATCACCAGCAAACTAAAAGGAAGCTGCAGTTTACATACTAATACACATAATAACTCAGAGAGGAAGTAATTTATGAAAAAGGGACGAAACTATTTGTACAGGCTTTGGTGTGGATACATTTTTATGCGTTTGTTTACCAAATTCCATTTTGATAGTGAAGTCAGTCGTGTTCATATCCCTCAATATTTGTCACATTTTCCCCACAAAATGTCAAACAAATGGCTTCACCGAGTAAAGCTTTCGTTTGCTGTGACAGGGTTTGTCTGGAGAACCGGGGCCCAAAGGACAGGTGAGTGGACGAGATCGCCGTTCGACCGTCTCGCTGACGTTTTATGAATCTTTCCTCCTGACCACTCTTTGCTTCACAGCAAGGAATCAGGGGGGACCCCGGACACAACGGCCCCACTGGGGACCCCGGGAAACCAGGGGATCCGGGGCCACCTGGGCTGCCTGGTCCAAGGGGACTCAACGGAGAGAGAGGAGTACCCGGCGTACCGGGCATTCCTGGACAAACGGTAAGTGATTTGCTGCGGCAACATTTCTCTTTTCAGTTTGTTTCACTAATGGGACGCTGAGGCTTCTCTCGCTGCCTCCAGGGGCGCGACGCATCCGACCAGCATATTATCGAAGTGGTGCTAAAGATGTTGCAGGGTGAGCATTATTATCTGTAAATTCACCTTTGATATCTGTAGGTTGGATTAGATGAGCTCATTTCTTTAAAAAAAAAAAAAAGAAGAAGAAAAAGACTTTTTAGCTTTTGAAGCAGTCGGATGTTGGTCGTCAAAGGAAAGGCCTTAGGAATGACTATTCGGTTTTCTGGTACAGAAAGACTGCAGGCTGTGGCAGTGAGTGCCAAAAGGGCTGTGCTTGGTGGCGCGGGTGTAATGGGACCTCCCGGGCCTCCTGGTCCACCGGGGGCACCTGGCCCCCAAGGGCCACATGGCTTACCTGGCACCCGTGGTATCCCTGGTATGATTGGAGGTCCGGGGCAGATTGGCAACACTGGGCTAAAAGGTAAATCACCACAGCACTGGAGTGAGATGAGACGGTGCTTATTGTTGGTTTTGTTGGTAATGTCTTTGTCTTTGTCCAGGAAAGAGAGGGCCAAAGGGAGAGAGAGGAGATCCAGGTAAACCTCACCCAGGTCAACCAGGACCTCCAGGGATACAAGGTGAACATTTCCTTTTCTAACTCAAGTATGCAAAGATTACACTATTAAAGCACCTTGCTATTAAAGTGATTTCTAAAAAACCTTCAATTGTGGTTTACCAAGCCCTAAATTATGTCAGTCCTGAACTCACAGCAAATGGAATAAGGGAATAAGAGAAGGAGAATTACTTCTTAGACTTGTAATTATGTGCGTTCTGTTACAAACCTCCAATTGTTGGATTTTGATATCAGTTTCAATAGTACATCATTGGTTATTTATTGTAGGATAAGTGACTGGACAATTAAGTGTTATGACTGTTTTAAAGTAAAAAAAAAAAAAAAAACAGGAAACTGAATAACATTTGACATTTTGATAACGCTTTATTTAAAGGGGTGTGCATAAGACTGGCATAATACTGAACATGAAAAAGTCTTCATGAATGTTTATGACTGTTGTCATAAAGTGTCATTCGGTATATGAAAAGATTTGATGCTATTCTCTGTGGGTATCAAATGCTTTCGATTGTCGAGAAAGTCTGACGGTTCCTAGGTTGGACTCGAGGAAAAAAAAAAAGTGCCTTGGTGTTTTTTGATTGGTGACTCACCACCACCGACTAGAAGTCTTTCATCGCCCTTATATACCATCAGCAATAACAGTGCGAGCCTCTTAATGTCCTCCTATATTTCCTATCAACTTCAGAAGCCGCACAAACTTTGCCACTGATGGCGATATAGAGAGCGCCGGAAGCAGCTGCTATAAATAACACGTCTGACATTTCTGCACGTTTTACTGCATCCGTCTCCAACCCCATAATGAGCATCTTTATTTGGACAATTTCTGCAATACTTAGTTTTATATCTGTCAGTAACAGTTAGGGGCTGTTACAGAGGAGCCAGACAGCTAAACCTGCGTCCAATAAAACATTTCCATGTGACCCACAACAAAGTAAAAACTGAATTTGGTCTTTTAACAACAAACCCCGAGTTGTGCTAAACGCTATACCACCATTTTTTTATTCTCGTCGGTTTTATCGGCTTTGTACAACCTGATTACAGGAAAAAAAATGTTTGTTCAGACGTAAGCAAAATGGAAGAAATATGGAACCGCCCATTCATTGGCATTTATGAAAGCAAACACCTGACCTGATATTAGAAATTATTTGCCTTTCATAAGCTACTTTGTTGCTGTTTTCTCAACTAAAAAACATGAACGTTAGTCACATCACTGGATGTGATGGTTAATGCCAAAGGATTTATTGCCCCCCTCCCCTTGTAAGTCGATCATGAATCCACTGCGAAACTTCCAGTCAATTACAAAAACTGAAAAGGTTCAGGAATATCATCTTCAGCTGGTCTGTGCAAAACAAAATGGAAAAACGAACCATCGGCAGAATAAGGGTGATTTCATTTCGTTCTCTGAAGTTGGAGGTGACTAGTTAGAAACGCGATTGACCTTTGAGTTGGGTTCAATTCCGATTGAATTACCGTCACTCAATGTGCCGTACAATATCTGTGACTGTCAAGTCAGTATTTAAAAACAGAAATGGCGTGATATCGGTAACGGTAGTTAGCATCAACACGACTACTTTATTACTACTAAGGGTTTTTATGGACCAGTTGAAAATGTCTATTAAAGAAAATAGAGAGCTGCACAGGAACGGGAGAGGTAAAGAAGACAAGAGAGACAATAAGCCAACTGAAGGACTTGGCGTTACGTCTGCTGCTATAGCATAGGATCCTGAGAGGAATTTCAAAGGCGTCATTAACTCCAGCCATTTAACAGATGCTCCTGAGTGGGGATGTGAAAGGACTGCAACAGTACAAGCTAAAGGAAATTCGTTCTGTTCTGCTCAACTGGGCGCAAATTAAATAAATGAAAGCCTTTCCTTCAGTGATGTAAGCAATGTGCCTGCATAGGGTTTCGGTCATCAACTTAAGTTTCTCTTACGACCTTACGACTTCACAGGTCCTCCTGGCATTGATGGTGTGGCTAGAGATGGCAGGCCCGGTGAGAGAGGACCTCAGGGAGCAGCTGGTGAGCCGGGTCACCCTGGTAAGGCAGGGCCCCCGGGTCTTCTCGGGTTCTGCGAGGCGGCAATGTGTCTGGCGGCATCGGCGTACACCTCGCCGAGATTACAAGAGGCGGGGACGATCAAAGGACCCAACGTTTAGAGACCCCTTTCTCTCTCTCTCTCTCTAAATCAACTGTCGGAGGGAGGGGGAGAGGAAAGAGAGAGACTGCTCTCCTCACTTGGACAACATCAGGAAATGAGAGTTGGGGGGCCACGATAGGGCGGTGACTGGCTGTTTAGCTTCCCAGCCTCTATCCTCCATCTCTCCTAGATATTACAACTGGAAGTTTTTTTGACTGGTGGGATATCATGATCTTAATCCCACACATCACCATGACAACAGCAGCTCACAAGCCACCCACATCCTTAAGAATTCTCCAGTGTTTTTTCTCTTTTTTTTTTTTTGGATGATGTCAGTGTCAGTCCCCGTCCAAATGCCACACTCCTTTCCTTGGCAGTGAGACGGGAGCAGATTCAGACTGAACCTCCGCGTCTCCTATCTACCGACACACGGTAGATCTACAAGCCGAGAGATGTTTGGGGGAGGGGGGGAGAGAAAATGAAAAACAAAAAAAAATGGTGAAGAATTCTTTTAACAACACGGTCACTTTAGATGCGATAACTTGCGTGTTCTCGAACGTCATCTTACCTCTGTCGATTGAGACGTCAAGCCTTAAAACTGTACAATAAGGACCAATAAATGATTGCAGCCCAAGTTTTCACTCAGTACTGTATTATGAAATGTATCTCCTGATCTGAAAGCTTGAGTGAAATCCTTGATTCAACTCATGTAAATTGCTTCCCTCCCTCCCACCTCCCCGTCCTCCTCTACCCCCTCACCCCTCCGCTTTCTACCCAAGTCTCATTTTAGAACCTAACGACAAGCTTTATCTCTTCCCCTTGTTGCCAGGCAACAGCATATCCCAACAGGCACTCCCATCTCCCACAATGCAGTGCTGTAAATCTTTGTAAATGTGTGTTGATTATTATGTGCAGGAATACCATGCAGAACCCTCAGAAATGATGACTCTTCCTCGAGACAATTAGCTATTAGTTCAATTGTGCTTTCCATGCCACTGTCAGATTTCCACAGGATTACTGATTTACGTCATTAAAAAGAAGCTATTTATTGTTCTTGATAATAATCACCTGTAAAGAGAAGAGGGAGGGTTTTACTTCTGGATGTTCATTCTTCCCAAACCAATAAAGAGGAAACGTTTTATAAAATCCAATGTTCTTCTGTATCAATGTTGGGAAGGTATTTAGTCTCTTTCAGATCCTTCTATATATACATAAATATATATATATATTTTTTTTTTTCCAACATTAAAAATATTGATTGCCTTTAAATAAACTCCCTTGCCTCACATGTTCAGCTTTTAGCAACATTTTTGCTTTCCTGAGCCCTGAAGTCACCAAATAAACGAGCACCACACAAATGTACTGTACACCAAGACAAAAACTACAGAATCAAAACATCAAGCGTTCTTGTGAGGAGACAAGCTGTTAGTACCAAACGTTCCTATTCAAAACATCACAAAGGACCTACAGAAATGTACTGAATAAAACAGCTGCAGTGTAACTATATAAAGAGCCCCAACTGGGAAGGGTCAAAGTGTTACTGAGAAATAAACTCCAACAAAAACTTGCAAAAATGTCAACAGAAAATAACAAAAGGTGATGGTGACCACCAATGTAACTTTAAAAGGTATTCTGAACAACAGAACAAATTAAGCAACGGTTGAATAAAACTTCTAGTCAGATGCTACATGGGGATGCCGGCTAGTGGCTCCATTTGCATTTCTGGATGTGCATTTAGCTCTGCTGACGCTAAAATGTTGATCCACCATTGGTGCATAATGGACGCCGTTCAAACATTGACTAAAGCAACCTTTGACTAATTGTCTACTGTAAGGAAATGTGACTGATGTAAATAATGTTTACTGGCATAAGCTTGATATTTTGGTTTGATCTGTGGTCATAATTTATGTTTTGAGTCCACTGGGTTGGAAACAAAAAAAAATCCCTGAAAATGACATGCAATGAAATAGGATGATGACCTTTGTGGTATTTTATACGAGTGAAAAAACTTCTACAAATATCTGTTAAATCATTTTCAATTGTTCATTTTTATGATTTTTTTTATATATATTGAAGTTATCATAGTTGTATGGAAAGACCCAGGTGTTGGCAGGAGAGGTGCAGGGTCTATAATGAGGATTTATAGAAAAATCCAAAAAAAAAACCCCAAAAATTCGGAGGAAGTCACTCAGGAGAAACGGGAACCATGAGGGTTGGGGGGGGGAGGGGGGTACAGCAATAAAATCCAGCAAAGTGTGACATGAAAGCAAACGTTACAACGCCGAGGATAAGTGATTGCTGGAATGATTCGCAGGTGAGATAATTACCTGAATGCATAACAGCTGTGAGGCGAGGCTGAGGGTATAAGAGGCTTATATCGTACCTGTAATGAATGCAAAGGGATCTGCAGCAAAGAAACAAGAACTACAGAAATTGAGTAACTTCACAGACACAAGACTGCAACAAGGCACAGAGTAACTTCAAAAAGTCACAACATGGCACAAATATAAAACACAACACTTTACAAAACAGGTGTGTATTTCAAGGACAGTAATAGGGAAGGTAATGAGCGCACACTGAACGTTTGCAAAGAGAACAAAAAGGTTGCTACAGTGCAAACTACCAACTAAAGCACTGACATTAGTAATTTTAGACATGCTCTCTAGAAAAGACGAAGGGCTTTTAAAAATCTGCACTTAGTTGCCAAGCAACTAAAAACTTAATTATTCGAGTTGCAAATGCTACACAATGAAAATAAAAAGTTGGGAACTTAAAAAAAAAAAAAAAAAAAGGTATTTGGCAAATATATGTTGCTGTTTGTGACTGACTTACAATAAAACATGTCAAAGTGATTTAAAAACTAAATGAAAATTGATGTGTCCTTTAATACGTTGTATCTGTTTTCAACTGTTCAACCTGACGAGGAGCTTTAAATAAAAACGCCAACAAAAATAAAACAGAGTGTTTGTTTGAAAAGTATTTTAATTACAGTTTCTAAGAAACAAAAGCATGACCACGGTTCAAAGTTCAAACTGGTTGAAAAAGTACAAAAATCTGTGTTGTTCAAACTTCAATTACTTTGAAACACCGGTAACTAACGAGGAACAAATAAAACACTGATGTATATATAACAGCAATCAAGTGATTGGGACATGAATGTGAAAATGTTCCTCATGCTGAAATGACGGTGAGGAGTGAGGATTGGCTGAGCTGCATTTATGACATAATTATGACCAAGTGCATCGAATGTCTATATTATTCTCAAAAAAAAAAGAAAAAAAAGATCCAAATAATGCAAACTGGTTTTCATTAGAGCTAAACTGGAATAAAATATGCAAATAGATGAACTTTAGTGACACAGACACAAAAGCCAATTTGTTTAGTCTAAATACAAATTACTTCTAGAAACAATTTGTTTTTCACTTAACCCATTTTTTTTTCATTTGAAAGCTTATAGACATAAAATAATTTTATTTATTTATTTTGCAAAAATAACCACTGGCATTTAAAAAAAAGGAAGCTCTGAGTTGTATCAAAAGCCAATATATATATATACATATAAATATCTACAAAGCAATCCATCAAGGAAAGTCTGCCTGTTACTTGTAATCTGTTTCAAAAGAACTAAACTACATTTCCCAGCATGCTGTCTGTTAGGTGACATTCAAACGTGACACATCTCGCTCAATTCAACCATGACAACATTAGAAATGCATGGGATCTCCTCTGAATGTAATTGTTTGAGGACTGGAACAAAGATAGGAGAAATGGAAGCAGCGTAGTAAAATAACTTTCTTTTTTTCCTGCTAACAGAATTAGACAAACAAAATGACCAACACAAGGAAGAATGGGGGGGACAGAAGTCTGAATTTGTGAAGGAAAAGAAAAGACAGATTGTAACTCTCAGTTTGCTCTCCTGAAAGCTCAAAAAGATGTAAAGCGAAGTGGGGGAAAGGAAAAATCAAAGGGTGTTAAAGCGATGAACTGGCATTTTTAAGAGTAGAGAAAAAAATGGTTCAATAACAATTTTCTGTCAGTGTGTCTTTGCAGGCCTCAGTTCCAGCGGGACCCTTAGAAGGAAATGTGCTTTTCGCACATATCTTTTTTTGTTAAAAAAAAAACAAACAAACAAAACTTTTGCTTTCTGTCATGTGGTCTTACTGAATAACTTTGAGTCCTCGTCTTTGGTTTGCTTCCTTCCCCAAATACTGTAGTCTCTTTGCTCCAGTTCCCTTCATCCCGCAGAACCTTACCAGGGGCCTTTGACAGGTGGGCCCTTGGGGCTGTAGTCCACCTGATGGCTCATACAGTCCGCAGGATTACAACGGCCTTCCTTTCCTTTGGCTCCAGGCTGTCCAGGAGAGCCTGGTATCCCAGGAACACCCTGCTGGCCAACAGGTCCAGGAGGTCCCATTTTACCATAGCCTGGAGGGCCTGGAACGCCTAGGAGCAAAGAAAAAAAATTACAAGAAACATCCTCAGTAACTCTCTAAGCCTGGAATAACACTGAATAAATAAAGAAAAATATGTCAAATGACTATAAAGTAATTTGATTTCAACATTTCAATGGACACACAATTATACTACACTTATAATTGTGCCAAATTAATAAATAAAAGTTTTATTTTTACTTCCTGATGAATAAAAACTTCCTCAAGTTAAATGGATTAATTTAACACAGAAACACAGGAATTGTAATCGTCAGTAAAAGGAAAACGAGACGTCCGCTTCAGAAATGACATAAAATATGTACAAATCTGTTGTAATCACTGTTGTCAGGGGACGGAAATAATAACTCGAGCCATTTGAAGTGTTTTTCCACTTCCGTGAGAACACGTTTGCTTTTTAAACTCAAAATTTATCAAGCGGCTCCATGTGAAGTGATTGCAGCTGCCGGTCCTCCAATTTAGCCGACACTATCTGAACCCGTGATGATTAAGGATTCTTGGATATGCTGATATGAGTGAAAGTGGTTAATTGTAATTAGAACACATTGAGAATAATAATAAAAAATAAAAAAAAATTTCATCACATTGCCAGTTTTTTTGTGTGTTTTTTTTTTATCATCAATCAATTCAAATACTTTAATTAGTGGAAATGACTCAAATTGAGCTAATTCTGTGTGCAACGTCTGGCGCAGGTTGGACCTGCTTGAAAACTACTGTGGAAATCTAGCAGGGAATTGATTGCTGCTAAGTCTTAAATGCAAAGTAAAAGTTAACTTGGCCTAAATTTTTTAGTATTTTATTTTTTTCAAAGAACCAATTGGATGCATCACCTGGTGCTCCAGGTGGTCCCACGTCTCCCATCTCTCCAACACCCTTGTCACCCTTTACTCCTGGCGGTCCTCGTGGTCCTACGGAATTAAAGACGCATATTCTAACGCAGACGAAGGTTTATTCATACTATTTAGCATAATCCTAAAATAATAATAAAAAAAAGATTAAATAATGAAAACCCATTCACCGGGGAGTCCTTGTCCTCCCGGGCGACCCTGCCTGCCGAACTGTCCTGGGACTCCAGGAGGACCCTGCGGTCCGGGAGTGCCTGGAACACCATCTTTTCCTGGGGGTCCTGGTCGTCCGGGTGATGCCACCATTTCTACTGGCATCTGCATGCGAGACATGTAGTAGCCCATTCTCTCTAAGAAGAGGGAGAAGAAATGGGGAGAAAAAAAATAAAACAAATATTCAACAAAGAGACAAACTTGGATTTCAAAGAATTCACAGAACTAGTTTGAACAAAAGGCTCAATTTACAGAGGAAACACCGTTATGACTTAGAAAACGGTTCATTCTGCACAGAAAGCATCCAGACATCTGCATGTGCTTGCGAACGCTCTCACCGTCAAAGATCTTGATGACCTGTTGCCGAATGAAGTTTTTGATGTCGTCGTAATTAACGAACGCCTATTGAAAAAAAACAGAAAAAGGAAGTTTAAGTGGTTAAAACACAAACAAACAAACAAACAAACAAACAACCAGGCAAACATTAGTGAAGGAGATGAGTAGAAAATTTATTGTTTAAAAAAAAAAACAATACATACAACACAGCAGTACGTATTGAGTGTAGAAATGATCTGGGGTTGATTAAAATTAAAATTTAATTAAAAAAAAAAAAAGAGCAATGAAAATGAATCTCACATCGTTTCCTGGAGACCCAGGGGAACCCGGAGGTCCCGGTAGTCCATCAGAACCCGGGCTTCCTCTTTCCCCTCTAGGGCCGACCGGCCCCATCATGGGTTGGGCGTCCTTGCCGAGATATCCTCCCCCGCCTGGGGGCCCCGGTCTGCCTCGCTCGCCCGGAGAGCCCCTCTGTCCAGGGGCCCCCGGTTCTCCCTGTAATTCAGCACACATAATTTAAAGATAAGAGTTTTCAGAGAAAAGAAAAAGTGTACTGTATGTCTTCCTAAGACATATTCTGAACGTGCTTGAGACAAATATATGATGCATTTTATTGCCTACTTTGGGAAAAAAAAAAGAGTTTGTTATACCAATACGGCATGAACATAAACAACAAATATACTTAACTATAGCATGGGCCTTAAATTTGGCAATTTAAGGAAAAGTACCCCTTGTAAAGATGTATGAGGAGCTTTAAAATAATTTCATCTTTGGCATAATTCAACATGGAAATGTTGAAAAATCCAACTTTCATTTTAAAATTGATTCAGAGAAAAATATACAACAAAACTGTTTTTGTCCTACTATAACAAAAGGAAATGAGAATCCTGATCGACTTCAGAGAGGATCTGTAGAGATTTTCCAAAGAGGAACAAGCAAAGATCTCCATCTCTGTATGCTTTAAACTTTGTGGATCTTCTTTTGTATAAATATTGTATTTTTGAAGTTATAAAGCCATGTACAGTTGAAACAACTTTGTTAGCAAAGTGGATAAGCAGGACGTACTTCCAGCTGACGTACCGTCAACCATGTCACCTTGACTGTATTCAAACTAAATGTTGGATGATTGATGTTACAGCGACAGAAGAATAATTCATTTATTTATTACTATTATACAAATGAGATCAATAAGTTTACCTACAATGTGATCTAATTTTCTCCTCCTTTTTTTTTTTTTTACCCAGCTCAACTTGAACGTCTATGTTCAAATGTCATTTTCAAAGTAATATTCATTAAGATTTAGCTATTTTAAGAAGCGAGCCTCTTCTTGACGACAGCTCCGCTCCTGCGTCTCTATCGCGTCCCACACGGCAGCGGCTCGCCATTCAGGCCGTGTAAACACCCTCAAAAACAGCCCCGCTACATTAGCGACAGTGATTTATCGAGGACAAAGCGGCCCATAATGGACGTCTAATGTTTACACGTCACCGACAGACGAGCGCTTCCTGAAATAGAGACGAGCGAGGAGAACGGAGGATCCCGCTCGCCGTTCTGCACCACTAAAACCCTGACAATGCTGTCCTGTCAGCGTGACAAATAGCCTCATCTAGCATCTCCCCTCATGCTTAATAGCATTATCCCAGAGGCTGAAGAATAACTCTATCACTGTGCCCACCTACTGTAAGCAGAGAACCAACGCACTACCGGGCCAAACGGCTGGGGGAGTCTGTCGGGTTTCTGAACCGGCTGCCCGTCTGATGAGGAGTGAAGTGAGGCGAGGAGGACGGAGGTCGACTCGGGGAGGGGTCAGCGGGTTAGTGAACTGATGGCTGTGTTAAGTGTTGGTGCAGAGCACAGAGCAAACGCTTTCAGGAGCATCGTATGTCAACAGAAGCCTCCCCGGGCCGTGGCACAGCGGAAAAGAGCAAACTCTTGCCGATTCCGGATAGTTTGAGGACGTAATGGATGGCTGACGCTCCGCTTGATAGCACACACACACACACGCACACACACACTGCATTAAGACATCACCACGCTGAGTCATCCCTTACCTTTTGACCTGGCTGTCCGCTGTCCCCCTGCAGGCCTGGTGTTCCCTGCCACAAGAAAACACAGGATGCAGTGTTGGATTTTTTTTTTTTTTTTTTACCAGTAACTTGAAAAGTGTGACACAAATTTGCATTCCGCACTTCTGAGTCAAAACTTGCCATTGCAGTCATAGCTGCAAGTTTTTTGTGGTACTTTTTTTTTGACCAATATCAGTCGATGGATCTATATTTTGCATCCCTATTATTTAATAATTGGGTAAATCCTAAAGGCAGTCGTTTGCAATGGATTTCAGTCACATGGTTCACGAGGAGCATGAGTGGGTATCACACAAACCAAACTTTCCGGTTTTTGTACAGAAAAGAAATGAAAAGACAATTAAATTGGGCAAAGCTTTCCATCGTTTATCACCGAAAATAAAATACACTGAAGTTTGTAATTGTTATGTAACAAAGTATGGAAAAGTTGCAAAGCACTGTGCGTATTTCATTGAATTATACTTTTACCGTTACACTTTAGGAAACGCACTCAGCTTGATGCTACTTACATCTTTGCCAGCAGCCCCGTCGCTGCCAGGCTCTCCCTGAAAGCAAACACACAAAGATTGAAACATGCTAAAGTCCGACAGTCGACTTTGCTTGCAGGTGAAGAACCAACCATAAGTCCTGGGTGCCCTGGAGGTCCCGGAGGTCCAACTAACCCCGGGAGGCCTCTCTCCCCAGATGGACCCTTATCTCCTTGCATCCCCTAGAAAGGAAGACATCGCTCACATATTTAGCGTCTACAGAGCATTTCAGGTGATTCTGGGTTCATTCTGTATCAGAATGAAACAAGAATTTTGCACAATGAAATGCTGGTGAAAGACACCAGCTGGTCACCTGATAGTGACTCTGCAAGTTTAAGCAGGTATGGTGGAATTTTTTTTTTTCTCTTCTAATTTAGAAAGGTTTAGTAACTTAGTTTTTTTTTTCTTTTCCTTAATTTTTTTCATGACTAACAGGTGAAATTACAGTAATGTTTGAGATGTACTCTTACCACTCCCGATGGGCCAGGAGGCCCCGGAGGTCCCGCTGGCCCTGTGGGACCCTGACGATGAAAGAAAACAAATTATTCAGATTTGACATGCTAATAGAAAAAAAAATTAAATAAAGATTAAGGAAACCTGTTCAAAATATCTTAAAACAGAGGGATGTTTACGATCTGGCCTGGAGGTCCCGGTCGACCCTGAAGTCCTGGGATACCCTGGTCCCCCTGCAGAGACCCACAGACTGAACTTTAGATTATACTTTGAGTTTGTCTGAATAGTTTTATCATTTAGCAAGTTGCAGAGAATAATCAGCAAGATTCTGGTGTAATCATGCCTGAATGTTTGGCCACTTCTCTTGGTAAAGTAAGTAAAGGTCCTTTCAATTATTTGGTTTCACCAAAGAGCTTTAAACGTTTCGATTCACAGCCGTGATTTTAATGTCAATGTGAGCAAAAAGTGCAAAGGACTCACTTCCTGTGAAGCTCAAACCTTTTGTAGGTTTGGTGGCCAAACTGATTGGGCCATTTGAAAGTGGTGTTCCACAGATGTTAAACAGAGTTGGAAGGACTTTGCACGAATTTAATGCCAGTCTGCTTTATTCCATTAGAAAATAATGTAACGAGGGTCGTTGTTTGGCATCATTTAAGCTCTACATCACCATAAGGCCTACAGGGTTCTTGACACAAAAAAATTTAGAATCACAAATTCTAATGTGTACTCCCAGATTCTTGCTGTGTATATTCTTTTTGTGTGTAATTATGTCACCCTAGAAAGAGAATGTATCAAATTTATCAGTACAAAGCTGAAAATTAATACAATATTAACAACAACGATGTTAACAACAAACCTTCCATTGCAACTAAAGTTTCTGTTGGGGAAATGGTGGAGAACAAAAGTACTCACGTCATGTCCTGGCCTGCCGGGTGGTCCTTGTGGGCCTGCAGGCCCGGCATCTCCCTGTTGGGATGCGATACATTTTAAAATGACAACTGGAGACTCAACGAGGGAAAGCAGTAAAACTTCTTTGATCATAATCGAGCATGATGCGCGAGAAACCGGCTGTAGCTGCGCAAGTGGAGACAGTCACGGTGTGATGGTAAGGTAAGGGGTTTGTTGACTGACCTTCTGTCCAGGAAAGCCTACGTGTCCTGTTTTCCCTTTGAATCCCTGAGGAAGAGACATCAAGGAGAATGAGGCAGGAGGAACGGTAAAAAAAAAAAAAAAAAAACAGAAGTCGGTGCTGCTGGAGAAGGTGGAAGATTGTGTTTGAAATTTCAAACACCTGCTCTCAGCGAGAACACAAACTGAAATGCAGCGACGAAAAGAGACTTGTAAGGAAAAAAAAGAAGAAGATGTTTTTAGAGAAGACAAGTGGAAGCTGTGCGAGGCTCAACTCGAGTGTGTTTCCCTCTTCTCCTGGGTCAGTATGTTCGACAGAAACACAGGGAGCGCCGTGTAATGCATTTGTAAACAAGGCCACGAAAACAGGCGTTATTGTTCATCGTGATGTGCAGTGTCGGTTTTCCTGCCACTGCCTGTCGCTTCGACTCCGAAAAGATCAAATTTGGTCTCGTCTGACCAAATCATTTTCATCCACACGACTGCTGTGGCCTTTATGTCGCCATAGTTCATGGCAAACTACAAATGGAACCTCTTATTCCTTTTTTTTTTTTTTTTTTTAAAGTCGCTTTTCCACTCTTACCAATTTTGAAAACTACTTATAGTTTATACTTGTACTGTCGCGATTATGTGCAGCACTACGTTTATCTACCACATAAAATCCCAGTGAAGCGCTCGGTCATTTTTGAATGTGACATGACAAGAGCACAATAGTTCAAGGGCTGTGCAGACTTTTAAAAGTCACTTTTTTTTTTAAAGAAACTTACCTTTTTTTAGTTTGTATGTGTTTTTTGTTTTGTTTTGTTTTATAATGGACGGAGAGAAAATCGAGAAATTCTGGCAGTGTAAATGACACAGGTGATACTCACTGGGATTCCTCGAGGTCCCGCTGGGCCTGGAGGGCCCGCCTCGCCCTGATAATGATGAAAAAAAAAAAAAAAAAAAAAAACACACTCTGTTTCAGAATATTAATATTAACAACTCAGATGCAGGTTTTTGCAGCAGGATCATCCGTGTGATTTCTGGCGATTGAGTTGTGCGACGTACCCGCAGTCCTGGTTTCCCATCTTTTCCGTCTATTCCCTCAATACCGGGAGGTCCCTTTTTAATATAGCATATATATTAGTAAAAGTTCCAGACATCTGCGACAAAGATTGCTTTGTGCATGCAGGGGGTCGGGGGGAGGGGGGGGATAAAGAAAGTAAATAACAGTTTTACCATCAGGCCTGGAGATCCTGGTGAGCCAGGCGGCCCAGTTGGTCCCTGGGAACCTGTGGAACCGTCGTTACCCTATGGAAATGCAGTATTTTTAAAATACAAATACATTGAATTACTTGTTGTTGTTGTTTTTGTTTGTTTGTTTTGGGGTTTTTTTCAATCTGTACTCACTTTTTCTCCTTTGAGCCCAGAGACGCCTTCTCTGCCAGGTTTGCCGGCAGGACCAGGAGGACCCTATAATTACACAAAGTACTGACAGTTCCTACCAATGTTGAAATGACCATAAAAAATACAAAAGATCTTTTTAGAACGTTTACATACCGGTGGTCCTGGAAAACCTGGCTGTCCTTGGAAACCCTTAAATAATAATAATAATAAAAAGAATTTAAAAAGTGGCCATTATATGTCTTTTTTTTTTGTTTTCAAAATGACTATTTACAGCAAGTACAGACGTGGAAAAGATGCATGAAAAGCTTTAAAATAAAGTAGGAAACTTTTTATACATAACAGTTGTTTGATTCAAGAACATTTCCTCAGTGTTGAAATATATTAGGGAATGCTCTATTTTAAGAAAAGGCCCAGCTACTAGCTCTCCCTGCCACAGATAATCTGTACAAACACTTTTGACACGAGTTTCCACCGTACTTATCAGTGCAGATGCATTTCCGTATATCCATCTTTGGTTTGGAATCAGAGCGACCCAGTGGGTCTGTGTGCAGCTCCAGTGTCCCATGTTATATTACCGGATCATCTTTGCGAATGCGATAACAGGAAGACTTTTCTTTCCATCTGGGGTTTTATTAGTGTCTAATAATAGACATTATGGAGTCTCGCTGACCTGAAGATGACGCTTTCTGCTGTGGCTCGTTTAGGGTGCCGCTTCGGAGATTTGTTTGCACTGAATTCACTCGTCTGCCTTCACACATATGGACTTCAGTGACATCCTATTCTTAATAAATCCATAATAAGTATGACTTTGCCACTAATGACAGTTTTAACTGTTCTGGGTGAAGGAGTATGTTTATAGAAATTGTACCCATTATTCCAAAAGTACATTAGTGAGGTCAGACACTGATGTTGCATGAGAAGGCCTTGCTGATAGTCTCCACTCTGATTTATCCCAAAATTGTTTTATCAGGTAAAAATCAGTACTTTTGTCAGGATGGTCAGGTTTTCTTCACACAGAACTTGCAGATTCAAGTCTTTATGGATCTCGCTTTGTTCACTGGTGGCCGAACAAATAAGGGCCATCTCCAAACTGTTTCCATAAAGGTAGCACAAAGTTCTCCACAAAGTCTTTGTGCTGCAGAATTAAGAGCTATCTCATAGGAACTAATGGCCCAAACCCAAATGTGATTGTTTTAGGGCTTGTTACACATTTTGACCAGGGATGCCAAGGAAATGTGTGTGTGCCTGCATGTAGCATACCTGATCACCTTTGGAACCAACAGGCCCTGCTGGTCCTGTGTCTCCTTTAATGCCCTGCAAACATTGAACTTGAATTGAATAGTACTTACAAAAAAAACAAATATAAAACTCATTTAAGATAAAAACACTGACTGGAGATCCAGCCTGTCCTTGATACCCAGGGCTACCAGGAGGACCCTGCAAAATGAAAGGAGACGTTAGGCTTTACGTTAGAACATGGGCCTCAAGTAATTTTGTATAAGTATAATGACAGTGAAACCACTCACTGATTCTCCTTTCTGTCCAGCTCCTCCTGGGCTTCCACGCTCACCCTTCAGTCCCTGACAAACATGCAAAAAAAAAAAAAAAAAAAAAAAAGAAGGGGAGAGAGCAGTGAATCAGCGTGGTCCCTTGTGTCATTGGAACCTGTCTAAAAATTGACAGGAGCCTGTCAGTTCTTTAATAATGAGGCAGCAACTTACGGGCAACCCAGGTGGCCCCATAGTTCCGGGATAACCAGGCGTCCCTGGAGGGCCCTGAAGGAAAGATCATGCGATCAATCAAACAGGGAAACCAATTATTTCCACTGTATGTTATCGTTCCAGGGGAAGCTGCTTGTCAGGAATGTACCTGCTCGCCCTTCATTCCTGGGAGGCCGGCCGACCCTCGTTCACCCTGCTGACCCTGAGGATGACAGCGGAGGGAACAGATCAGAACAAAGGAGAGGTACAGTGCTTTGTAAAAGTACAAACATTTTAATTACAATGGGCAACGGGGGAGGAGAGGGAAGTGAGGGTGATGCACTGTGATGGCAAGATCCACACCGTACCACTCGCTTGTTTCACTTCAGTTTACTTTGTAGTCACTACTTCAACTATACCACTCATTATTATTATTATTGTTTCTTTACATGTTACAATGTTTGCATGAGAAGTGCACACATATCAACACTGCAAGGTCAAAATGCAGTTTTATGACGTATCCATGTCTCTTTATTTAAGAAATATGTTTTGACTTCTCCTTCCTGGTTGCCAAAAGGCATGGCTGATGTCTCATGGGACTGAATCGCGTGCTTCATGGAATCTTTTCATTGTTTTGCATTGGTTATTTGGTGGCAGCCATCTTGTCTTCCCCTTGTGCATCCACATCATTTAACTAAACCAGTATTTAAGTTCCCTTATGCGTCACTTCAGCCGGTCAGTTTGTCTTATGAGTGTTGGAGGTTTTATTAGTTTTCATGTTTTGGTTATAGCTTCTTGACTTCACTTATTTTATGGGGTTACTAGTTATTTATTTCCCACTGTTTCAGTTAAACACCTGCTTGGTCCCTGACATGCACAAACAGAAAGTAAGCAGTGAAGTGAAAAATTGAATTGAACTGAACAGTAAGTCTAAAGAATATACATATATGCATAATAAAAAAAAGTTGGAAAAATAAAAAGAGAAAAATATTCATTCCCCTCTGATACCTCTGAATAAAATCAAGTGCAACCTTCCTATAGTCCAGTGCTACAAAATAAAAGGCTGCTATTAAATGAATACATAATTAAATAATGAAATACAAACATACATAAATGTTGCAAATATATTTAAGTCAATATATAAACTTTTTTAAATAAAATATTGTATTTTTCATTTCATGAGGCTATTTATTTATTTATTTAATAGAATACTAATTACTAATAGTACTCATTAATTTATTTAATTTTGAATCAAACTGCTCTCCATAACATATCCCCTAATGTCACCGTTTTGGTCTTTGTGGAAAAAGTTCAGCAGAAAAATGACAGCACATTGTCTTCACTGCACCATCCTAATGGCAAAAGATTGTGGCGGTAGTATGATAGTATTAAGATAACTTGGCAAAGAAATGTGAAACACATCGTTTTGTTTCATTTTGTAATTTTTTCCACTTATGGATGTTTATCATAGAAGTCCAGAAAAAAAAAAAAAGCTAATGTTTGTTTTTGTAACATAACTAAGGGTCATGGAAAGGGAAAGTCTCTACTGGAATTAAAAATAATTTAAAAAAAGCCAATAGCAAAGAGAAAAGAAAAGCTTACTTGTTGGACTGTCTTTTTTTTCTTTAGTCTTTCACTCTGTGAATCAGCAGGGTGCTGATGCCCACTCATAAACCTCTGCTGTTTTGGTGTAGTAAACCGTTTTCTATCCTCAGATATTACTGAATCTTTGAACTCGTGTGTCTAGTAGCGGCTTCGGCTGCTGCAGCCCAACGCTTACTTTTTAATAAAATACACAAACACTCGCAAAACACAGTCCAAACGACAGGAAGCTACATTAAAAGTTACCTGTCATAGTGCGGTAAATGAATACCGAGCAAAATTTGAGTTTAAATATTGATACACATGTAGGTGTGAGCAGTTGCCTGGCAACAGCCTAAAGACTGTAAGCAAAGACAGATGAGGAGATGAAAACCGGATTAACTGACATTTTAATTTATAAGAGGAGGTAGAAACTGCTGCAAATAAACTGTTGTATGATTATCTAAATTTGTTCTAAAAATAACATTTTATGAGCAAAACATTTCTACCACATGAGATGAGATATTAGAGAGTTTGTCATGGCTTGGAAGTTTTTTAAAAAAAACTAAACTTTCCAGGAAAACGAGCTCATACACAGTACCAGCACGGCTACGCTGCAAATGGATTTTACTCAGTGATCACATGGCTTGAGCATTTGGCACCGCCATTCTCTTCAAACAATAAATCAGCATGAGAAGAGCGGGGGCTCTCACGAGGGGGTTGTAGGTCCAGCTTTTACACGCTTAGTCTCTTAGACGGTGGAAACAGTTGAATGAAAATCATGAAAGTGGCCAGGCATCATTGCTTTGCTTCAAAATGACCTCGCATACAAAAATACTGCAGCCGACGTGAGGAAAATGAGTTTTTTTTTTTGTTGTTTTCCCCCTGCCCCCAAATCAATAAAAACTCAAATTTGAGAGGTTTCTTCAGGATTCCAAACACGCATAAAACTTTGTTCATATTCCACCAATGTCAAAAATACACAATTTCGCAAATCTGGTGTTTCCATTAAATGAGAAACGCAATAAAATCACACATGAACAACTTTATTCACGTGATAAGTCATTAAAAAACGTGCTGCACCGTCACTCTCCAACTACTTCCTGTTGTCTTCTTTGTGGCTTGCGCCAGTGGCAACATCTGGTGGTTTGGTCATGTGACTCGTGTGACGTGAAAACCGATTTCAACACGGCCAAAAGAAGAAGGAGAAAAAAAAACCTTATTCTAATGCTAAAACGTTTTTTTTTTTCAAAATTGGCATGTTTTCATTAAGCACATTTATTTTTGAAATGTCAAATTGCACAAATATAGACTCGGCTAAAGAATGTCCTACAGGTCCCTACAAAGGTCTTGGCCATGACTGTCAACTTTGCTGACAAATTGACAGCAAAACTTTTATTTGTGTCCTCAGGAACCGTTCTGTTATTGTTATGCTGTTAATGAGGAAGAGTTAAAAAAAAGACTGTCACATATTTTGTTTGTACTGCTCTGAAGACTTTTCTTTTTTCTAGGCCTGAGAGAACCGATTGAAGTGTGAAAACATAAGTGAGACTTACAGATAAGCCAGATGGGCCCTGAGGACCTGGGAAACCAGGAGGTCCCTGTGGACAGAAAGCAATGAAGACAACACTTTCAAACACCTGAGACAAACTGAACCAAAGGATAAACACAGACCAAAACAAGCTCACAACTTTAATTAAAGCAGGTATCTATTTATTCTTGAAAATGAACAACACAACCTAGATTCTGCTGTGGGAATTGTGCATTTATAACAATATTAGTTTAGATAGAAGGGTTTGGTTTTTTTGTTTTTTTCCCCAATGTGCCACCAGGGGGCTCTATGACCACACAGGAAGTGGCATGCACTCACTCCATTTATATCAAGTCACTTCAAATCTGGGCTTTGAGACAAAAACCCAGTGGTGCTGTTCTAAAACGATGATAACAAAGAAATGAATCGCTCTTTTTTCCCCCTCGCTCACTAAAGTTCTTCCAAAAATAATACATGACTGCAAAGTGCGCTAAACTTTTCTGTTTCAACTTTTTCCTCTTGTCATAAATTTCACAGAAGGCTAAGTTAGTCAAAGTGTGTGGAGGATTTTAATAAAAGCGTCACCAGCGGATGAGATCTCTGAACAGATATTCAGCAAGGGGGAGATGTATCTATTACTCCTATTAAAAACCTCACAAGTCGTTCAGGTTTCTCTGTTTTCAAATGAAGATCTGATGCGAATGACGAATGATCCTTACCATGATTCCTGGCGGTCCTGGCGAGCCCCTATCTCCCGGAGAACCCTGAAGAGGAAGAGAGGTAGATCTTTTCTTTTTCGAGTTTGTTTGGACACAGAAATATGGCCAGAAGAAGAAACATGTTAGACCCAGCAGGCACTCTGGGAAGGACACTCACGGGGTCTCCTTTTATTCCCGGTGTCCCAGGCACTCCTGGAATCCCGGGTGTTCCGGTGCAGGATCGATCACCCTGTTGGGAAATCAAATACTGGCGTATGGATTTCACACGTACTGTATATATGCAGTGCTGTGCAGGAGTAGATTTTTTCCCTCCCTTGAACTTTTTCACGTTTTTGCCACATTGCATTCCAAACATCAATGCGTTTGTTTTCCAGAATTCTATATGAGACCAAGTCAAAGTAGTGCATCATTGTAAAAAGGGAAAATCAAAATAAGAAAAGATCCGAGCGCATTTGTATTCATCCCCCTTTACTCTGATACACCCAAAACAAAACAAAGCGCACGTCAACAGAGTCAACTGCTTTGTGTCGGTCTCTCATTTAGCATCCAAGCAAATTTCATGGAAGCTTCTGATCGTAATGTGAAAAAGTATGAAAATCTTTCAAGGGATAGTCGCACTTTCAGCACAGCACTGTATATTTATACATGTTGGGTAATCCTTATTATGGCAGCAGTTTCAAACAAACCGTCGCTTCAGTTGCCTGTGCCCTCTGCAGTCTCTCCAAACACTATAAAGGTAGACGAGAGAAGTTATTAGAGCGCTGGCTCCCCCCACATCACACACAGAGAGAGCGGATCACAAGAGGCCATGCACGCTCGAACACAATGCAAAACGATGGACTGTCATTTCGCATTCATCACGGCGGTGACTGCGGCACTGGAAACGCTGCATAAAATTCCAAGGCCAGGCTGGGTGGGGGGAACTATGCAGCGAGGCTGAAAACATTGCAACAAGAAAACGCGCTCCCACAAAGTCTCACCCTGTCACAGCTGTCCATGACTGTCGCACCAGGCTTGCCCTGGTCTCCTTTTTCACCCTTGGCACCAGCCATGCCCGGGACCCCTGGCAAACCCTGAGAACAGCCCTCTCCACAATCCTCCTGTGTCGCACACATAGAAATAATGGTTTATTTCTATATACACGAGGATGCTCGCCGACACTCGTCATGCTGTAGAGGCACGCCTCGAAAAGTCAGAATGCCGTCCTCAGTTCAAAAGCTAAAACTCGCACTCGTTCATCACAATGAATTAAATTTATTGCAAATTTAATTCATGCATTTCATTTCTGATCATTTTGATGATTACAGCTTACTCGCTTAAAAAATAATACTAAAATTATGAGAAAATTATGCTCCACGTAGTCTTGAAAAAGGCTGCTGGCTCGACAGTCGCCCAGCAGAGAGTCACAAAAGGTCATCGTAAAAGGAGCTCCAACAGATCTGTATGCAAGCAGAGTAATGAAAAATTGAGAGAATGGAGTACGTGTTGTGGCTCATGGAGCAGGAATACCTGCCATCTTCAGAAGACTGTGAGGCAAAGACAATTCAAGAGTTTAGGGGAGATTCACTTGAACCAAAGGTAACATCAGGAGAGCCTGTTTAGAACTGAGGCAGATTTGAATTTCAACCGGGCCAATCAGTGAGCAGAAAAAGGAGTCGTGAATGATGACGATGCCTATTGTAGAATTGTAATAGTTTTAGCAATGGCAGTGGAGGAAGTTAACGAAGACGTTCAGGCCATGTTGGTCACACCTCGAAATATTGAAAAGCTTCATATTCTCAAGCTGGAACACCACATAGGTTATGGGCAACTGTTAGCATTTGGGTAAAAATTAAAACGTCAGCAGCATCCATGTCTCTAGCAAACAATTGTTCTTAAATAGCTGGAAGTCCCAACTCTGTGCAAAGCAAATGGTAGAACAAGACACTATTTTTTTACTGGACAACCTCAGACCAAGTGTTGAGTTCTATATATTACAAGTTTTTTGTTTTTTTTTTAGTAGATGAACATTTCTGTATTTAAGAAAAATATTTTTCTTTTCTTATTGGTTTTATCGAATATTCTGACTTTCTGAGATACTAAATTTCAAGTTTTTATTAGCTGTAAGCGTTTGATATCAAAATGACCAGAAACAAATGCTTGAACTACAAGTTTCCTTCTTTCATTTGAATTAACTTTTGGATAAAACATACTGATATACATTCTTATGCATTCTAAGACCACAGAATGGAACATGTGCCAAATCTAAATGGTTTGTACTTACATCTCCCACTTCTATAGGTGTATCTCGAGGCAGAGTGTGTGATCCAATATAGCTCTACGTGAAGGAACAGAAATTCAGTTAAACTCATTTCAACATTTGAAAAAAAAAATCTAGCCTTCAAGATATTTTTTCACAATCACTCAAATCACCTCAAAACAGTCCATTTCTTTCTTTTTTTTGTTGAGTTTATTATACTTCAAATGTCATTCTGTCCAACTAATAAGGAAATTCAGAGCTATACGAGGGACTGAGCATTTTCAATTTTTTCAAGGCTGCAGCATTGCAGCCAAATGGAAAAAAAAAAAAAAAAATACGTATTCAGTGAAAAAGCAAACCGGTAAAACGATGTTTCCTCCTCATTTGTTTTTTTGTCAAATGAAAGGTAAACTACGTGCAGACACACACACGCATACACAAACACTTTTTTTCATGACTGATGTTTTGCTTTCCAGATTTGAAAATTGACTGCAATTCCAGACATTTGTAATCTGATAGACACCCATCTGGTTGAACAAAATTACTCGCACCCAACCTGCCAAAGCAGTACACTGTTAAAATTAGCACACAGTGTTCATCAGAGGAAACAGGCTTTTTCTGACAGCAGCCCTCCTGGCCTGAATTAACAGAGACATGTGTGTTTTTATCCAACTCCATCCTTATTCACCCACCTGCTAGCAGACCATCTCATTTTTATCTGAACTCTGAGCAGTTTTTTTTTCTTTTTTGTCACTTTTGCAACTTGCTGGAGAAATACCATTTCATCCAGTTGCTGAAATCGCAGAATCGATGGGGTAATCTTCACTTCATCGCCACAAATCTTTTCCATCAGAAAACCCGGCGCAAAGTGCCGTTTTCCTAGCAAAACACAGCATGTCTTACTGTGTGTCAAAGTGAACAGGACTGAAAAAAGTGATTACATTTAAACCAAGAGATTTACCTAGATGAAAACTGATGTTTTGTATTATTATTATTTATTTTTTATTCCACACTTTATTCTTTCAGCATTCAAATAACTTGATGTCATGAAGACTGCAACTGAAGAAAAGTTGAAATATTTTTCATCATTAGTGTCATAGGACTGAGCGGTGTTCAAAGTCTGTCCTTAAGAGCTGATGTCCTGCATATTTTAGGTTTCTCCCTGGTTCAGCACATCTGAATCAAATGCATACATCTTCATGAGGCTCCCGTAGAACTTGGTGACGTGTTAAGCAGCTGATTCAAACATTAAAATCAACTATTTTGGAGCCGGGGCATGTTTCAAACAAGCAGGACATTTGTCCTTGAGGACTGGAGTTTGACATCCCTGCTGTATCAGAAAGACTAACCATTTTACCCAGATGTTAAGAGAATATTTCAGTTTTTCGTGAAAAGTACATACGGGGAAATAGACGGGGAAAATATGTCAGATTGGAGAATGAATGAGTTAAACTATTGACATCCTATATAAGGGAAACTTTTATGTAAAAAAAAAAGAAAAGAAACGAAACGAAAAGAAAAACGTAATACGTTTATGGCATAAGTCAATGCTTAAAAACAAATGTTTATGCAGGATAAAATTTGCATGGCAAAGCGTTTCACTTTGAAGGGCTTTTGTGTTACAGCATAGTTGCAAAATTGACACTGTAAAGTAGTCAGTCAGTCTTTGTCGTTTTACTGCAACGCAGAGTTGGTGTCACTGGTCACCAATCCACTACAAGCTAAACAGAGGCACACAAAACAAACCGATATGCATGCACACATTCTGACTCAACGGCAATTTAGAGAAGCTAATCAGCATAGCATACTTTTTTTTATATATATATATAAAGGAGGAATTCAGAGTCCTTGTGAGGAATCCACAGATGCATCATGCAGATGACATGCAGAAAGGTCTTGGTCAGGATTCAAACTCAGGACCTTTTTTTTTTTGCTGCAAGGCAACAATGCACCACTGTGCAGCCTTATATTGAGAATACACCTCACAACCTCTGAGGGAAAAAAAAAAAAAAAAGTCTGAGTAAAATGTCACCAGACACTCATGTCGGCATCTCAGATTTATAAAGAGCGTTGCTGTAGGAAGTGTTTCTGACTACTCTAAAAAAAAAAAAAAAAAGATGTAACTGTGTCAGAGTTTTGCAATCAAGGGGACATATGCAGCCAGAAGAATATATTCACTATCTCCACTAAACAAAAGCTGTTCATTCGCACACCGGGTACATTTACTGTGAGAGTCAGCTCTATAAAAGATATAGAAAAAAAAAAAGGAGTCTTTCCCCGGAGAGTGTCTGTCAATAGCACCTGGGCTGTTATCAAAGTCATTACAGCTCCATTTGACTCTGTTCAAACTGAACCCATTAGCCAGGACAACTACTTTATGCGACACACTGTTGACCATTACTCTGGTAAGAACAAGGCCTTGTGCATTAGTAGACATGCTCAGAGGAAGGTTCCCTGTAATTATATGCCACTGTGGCATATAATTACACTTTTCTTTTCTTCGTTACAGTCTGCAAATGGCTAACTTTTGAACATCTCGAAGCTGCTTGTGCTAATGTTTTAAAAATCTGTTTGTGAGAGTCCTGAGAGGAAAAAAATAAATAAAGCAGCTCCCTTCAGAAAAATAAAACCTGCTAAAGGCAGAAAGAAAGTAATGAAAAGAAGGTAATGGAATTATTTTCAAGAAGAAAAAACAGGAAAAAAAAAAAACATTAAACAAGAACATGAGTGTGTCCAAAGCATTCCCCTGTTGGTTCTTCGCTTCAATCTATAGGAATTAGCCCCCACCAAAAATCTTCACTCTCTCAAATTATGCAGAGTTACACATCACAGTTTATATACATAAGCACAGTTCTTATGTATAAAAGACCTTTCAAAAGTGACAAAATTCCACTTCTCTTTATTGGTACTATTGGATTTATTACTCCCCACACCCCAGAAGGTAACCCACCCACCACCAAATGATGGTGTTTGCAGATGCTCCCCATAGACATTAAGCATAACGTATAATACAACACAGACCACAAAGGCAATCACAAACCACAGATAAATTCAAAGCAATTCACCTAGTTTTTTTCCCCCCTCTTCAATATTACCAATTGATTTTCTGCTAGATAATTAGGTTCTCAGACCTCCTGACAATAATCAGCATATTTATTTTTTAATGTAAAGTTTCAAGGAGACAGCTCCTCGTTACTTCTTGAGTGACTAATAAACTCATCCTGACTTTTCTTTTTAACACCAAGTGCAAGCCATGCCCGCATGCCAAAACAGTAATGTAGTTAGGTGCACCAACTATCAAAAAATTATGAAGATGGTTAAGAATTCTGGGGAATCCATCACTAATACTCTGCCTTTTGCTCGGGGCAAAAAAACCAATATCCAAAACTTTGATTCAAGGTAAATTGACCTTTTTTTCCCCCCTCTTAGATAGGAGAACCTAACCTCATTAAATTTTCATAACTTAATGAATTTAAGGATTTGCTTCCATACAGATTTACTCTCTCTTTTATAAATCGCTAGGCTTCATAGCAGCATGAAATAGATATGAACAGGGTAACGCATAAATAAGATCTCTTCATACATTTGGTAATTAGTAGCATGCATGGGTACCCCTTTATCCTGGAGGCTACGATTTTTTTGGGTTTCAGTCCCTGCGTGTTTAATGGCAAATCAGCCTCAGGGAAAGGTGAAACTAAAAATAATTCAAGGACACTGAATTATTGAAAAATTGACAAAGCATCCGCAGGTTACTGATAATGGGGCAACCTTCTTGAACATCTACTGGTCTGATTTTGGCTCAACACCACAAAAAACAACAGAAAGTTCCCTCCGGTTGGGCCCAACACCTTCAGGAAAGGAACATGAGGCTGACTGCCATCTAAGGCAACTTAGATGACAGTTTGTGGCATCATAATCTGGCTCTTTGGGTTTGGAATGTTGGTTCATTGGTGGAACCAACATTCCAGGTGTGAGTTTCCAGGTGTGAGTTGCCTTGGAGGTGAAACGCCTTCAGGAGAGTTTTGTTTCACGTTCCACGAAAGGTTGGGGACATAGAATCTGAATCTAGGCCATGTTCAACTCCTCCTTTCTCGATACCTGCTGTTATGATGGAAACTGGTCACCAGCAGTGATGCTGATGCAGTTCGGTTGAAAAGGAGGCCTTTTGTGTCCGATTGTATTAGGGAGTGCTGGAACTTGAGTGGTCTGTACCGAGTATTGTGCTGTGTAACCAGAGGGCATACAACTTCTGGGCTTGATGAAGCAAGACCGCAGGCAGAAGCTATGAAGAAGGACTTTCAGTTGGCCTCATCAATGTTATAGCAAACTGGCTGTTGATTTATAAAATATGGAGGGACTTCACAGACGATGGAATACTGAGAATCTCCTCACACCAGTTATCAAAGTCCTTTGTGGACAAGACAGAATCAGAAAACTTGGGAAAAGCGAGTCCATAGCTATGGCACAGGCCACTGAGACAGTTCAAAACCTCTATTGTCACAGGTTGCAAGGAGTAGGTAAGAATTATACTATAATGCTGAATGTTTTAGACATTGTGGGGCCATCAATGTTGACGCTTTTCTTCTGTGTGTCATGGAGAGCTGAAACAACAGTGGCAGACCAGACTGACGATCCTAATGAATAAGAAATGGGAACAAAGAGTGTCCTCCAGCCTTTGAAGTCCCCCACTTCATAATCTCTCAGGCTCCAACTAATTGATGAATCTCATATTCATGTGAAAAGTGTATTTTTTATTTAATTGTTTTTTTATCCTGGCCATAGAGAAGTCGGTCTGGTGGAAGTTTATGATTATGTGGCCTGAAGCATTGATGTTGATGTGGTGGTAGAGGTGGATGGGGATGCTATCTGGACATGCTGAACTCTGTGACAGCTGCCCCTCATCACAAATCCAAAATGTGGTGGGGTTCATGGGAGAGATGCACCAGTATTATACATTTAAAAAGTGAAAAATATACGTTGTCAAATATTTTAGAGACAAACCTTTTTACAACTTCCATCACTAGCAATTGGAGATTTTGAAAACCTTCCACAGGCCGTCATGGAAGTGTGGGCTACCGTTTCAATTTCTCCCAAAAGATATATACATATATTATCTGTTTTCATAAAATTAAACATAGGGCCCAACACATCAAATCTGAAGAACCACCTCTCATCCGTTTTTCACTAATTTTACTTACGCTCTTTCCAGGCAAACCCGGATTCCCCGGTATGCCGTCGTTTCCAGGGATACCCTGAAAGAAGGAACTGAGGTTGAACTAGTTTGTTTCCAATCGAGGGCTGGCCACTCCCATCTCCACCAGTGGTTAAAGGCAGAGTCAAAGGGGCAGGGTCAAACAATGAAACCAGTTCCTTGTCCTGCCATATCTTGTGAAAATTACCAAAAAAAAAAGTCTTATGCCCAAATACGTTTGAATAGACATGGCTTTATCAATTCATTCCCCACTTGTGATACCTCTACTTACACCTTTGACTCTTGCAGCATTTTCACTTTATTTGAAGGTCTGTTTCTTTGAAAACATTCTTTAGAAATTAGTTAAATTCGTGTTTAAGCACTGAATAATTTTATAAATTTTCTGAACTTTAAGCCAGACCTTCAAATAACTGTTCATGTCTCGGCAGACATTACGAAAGCTTGCTCAGTCGCTTCCCATTTGGGTTAAAGGCTTGAAGCACCGGACGGGGTTAGTGTGTTTTATCAAGTTTGTTTGCTCCTTTTAACCTGGTTATGTTCAAGCTTTTGCAGACATACTTTTGGTTTATGGTCATTCCATATCCTACATGCACTTCATGGACCATCTAAAGAAGCGAAGCATGTAAAAGCCTTATTTTCAGTATGTACCCAAAGGCCCAAGCTGAAAGCCTACGTCATACAGAGATGCTGGAAAGTTCTCAGAGCCTTTCATGTTCTCTACATGTCTTTTTTGTTTCCATTTCAGACCCAATATGGTATTTATGACATCATATATTTTCACACACTGTATCCCACAATTACAAAGCCAATTCAGGCTATACATGCTTCTAACTTAAAATATGTTTTCTTGTGATTGTTCTGTCTGTTTAGAGTCCATTTTGCCTCAATTCATGACTTTTACATAATAGAGATGACAAACATTTGTCTCCTTATGAGGTCATGTTGGTGTACAGTGAAAGTGTTTTTCTCTTCTACAGATTTCTTTTGCTTTTTTGCCACTTTAACCTAAATACAAAAGCCTAAATGACAATTTCACTGTGGAACAAATAAGGAAAATCTACAGCAACTCTTTGTTGTTCACAGTGCTTGAATTCTGAGGCAGCTGCAGAAGTATAGAAAAAAAGCACAAAGGAGATTCTAACAAAACCCCACAAGAGAAGTAGTTCTTCTTAACAGACTTGAAAGTACTTTTGTGGATGCAATTGTGGAAAATTGTGTGAATATTGTTCAAAAAATACCTAATCCGTTGAGTCTAAAACAACACAGAAATGTAGAAAACATAAAAAGGGTTTGACAAGTTTCCATCAGTATCATACTCACAGTTCAATTCAGACAAATAGAGCAACTCCTGAATTGAACTAAAAAAAAAAAATAAAAAAAAAAACATCCTTATCACCATCCAACAAGCCCTCCATTTTACCTGAGGACCTTGGATTCCAGTGACTCCTTGAGGTCCAGGGGGGCCAGGAGGGCCTGGAGGTCCAGGAGGGCCCTACAACACACAAACAGAGACCCCAAATAGCACGACAGTAAGAAAACAAAATCCTAAACTGAAGACTTTTGTTTTCTTCTGGAGAAAAAAAAAAAAAAAAAGGAGAAAAAGGCTTCAAACAAAGCATAAGGTTTTTTTCAGACAATTTGGCTGGTTAACAGATCCGACCTGAGGCCCGGGCTGCCACGTGTTTGTTGGGGTTCCCGGGGCTCCCTGCGAGGCAAAGATAGGCAAAATCAGAGCAGCAAACGTGAATAGTGTGATGTTAAAAATAAATGTGAACAAATGTCAAGCAGAAATAACAGAGTTTTTTTTTTTTTTCTTCCCTTATAAATCTCCTGTTAAGTTATAATTAACCCTTTGTGTTGCTATACTTGGTCTTCTACAGCACGGTCCAGAAGTTTTCTTTGAATTTTCAGCACATCGTCATGTGTTTCTTAGAATCTGTGTGTGTTTTTGCAAGTGTGTACTCACAGGTCCACCCACAATTGCAGGCCCGGGCGGGATGCAGTTACACTCTCCTCGTTCCCCCTACAACATCGGTGTATAAATAGAGCAATTAAAGAAAGTTCAAGTAAGGCTGTTTTCTCATCGCTAAGCTCTGCTTGCACAATAGAATCATCATTCTGTCTGCAAATTAGTCCAAGAATATCCACTAATTTCTTTGTGATTTGTAGCCAATTGTCTTACTATCTTTTAATGTGGTCGTGATGAGCAGTTCTCCAAGATTTCTAGGGTTTACTACAGTTTTTCTTTGGACATTGGCTTTGGCAATAGATGGGAAGCATATGAAGAAAATAGGGATAAATTGAGTCATCATTATAGACTAATATTAAATATATGTGGCTTGTCATGTACTAATATATGTGGCTTGTCATGTACTATTGTCGTATTATTTATGACAACGGATGTTAGAGTATACATTCCGATTAGTCTATTTTTTTAGATTCAAAGAACTTTTTCAAAACAACAGGTGCTAAACATACTTTTCATTTATTTGAAATGTCATTTTTTCCATTATCTGTTAGCAGAAAATCATCATAATTAACAGAAATAAAGGTGTTAAAACATCCTCCTTTGTCTAAATAATCAACGTAATGTGTTTCACTTGTTGATGGAGTTCCTGAAATGAATGGACTTTTCAATAATATTCTAACTTATTGAATGGATCTGCATGTAAATGTTTTTTTTTTTTTACTTGTGTAAAAATATAATGAAATGAAGCACATTTTACAAAGAATGAACTCCTGACATATCTGATCCCTTTGGGTTTTGGTTGTGTTGTGACTCGGTACTACTACCCAGTCCTTTCAAAATACATAAAAAAAACTGTCCTTTGTTCCAAAAGGAATTCATTTCTTAAATGCATGCTGAAGCATTACATTTTCAAAATAATTGTTGTTCATGGTCAGCAGGTCTCAACTGGTAAATCCTTTATGTTTCGTTCATGAGGACATGTTTGAACAATTACAGGTTCCACTTTCAGAAATGCAATCAGGTAACCATGGTTTATGATTAAGTTAAAAGCACAAAAGTCAGGAACTTCAGAGGATGTTATTGCTGATTCTGTGTTCATCTAGCCAGGGTTTAATTGCATTTTCGTTGAAATTGTGTTTTTCTTGCTACTTTTTTGTCGTTTTTGCTTGTTTAATAGTTGATGTAAATGGATAGAGTCATGCTCACTGAGTAAAATTTCCTTTTTTAGGAAAAAAAAAGGATTTTTTTTTTCATTTATAGATTATTTATAGATAAGGTATCTATAAATAGATACTTTATAGCAATAACGTATCTATTCTCACATTTAAATTATCCTTCATTAACATCTGAGGCCCCCGTCCCACGCCCCGAAAGCTCCGCCTTCTTTAATTCTTCATCTCTCCCTTCCTCAGTGACAGTCTGAACCTGCAGCTCTGACTCAAACGGTAATTATTACACAGCGTCTCTCTTCAGGCCCGTAAAACGCCTCCTCTGCCAAGAATGGCACGCGTGTCACCTCCACTGATGCTTTATCTGTAGCTGCGGGACCGCGCGTGCACGGGCGCGTCAGAGTGAGTGCGTCTGTGACGCCGGGCACGGTCAGTGGAGGGTGTTAAGCCTTCTCTCGTGATTACCATCTGTTCCGCCCCCTGATCTTCAAACCCCTTCCAGTTCCTGTCATCCAAACAAAATGGTAGACTTACCTTGTCCCCCTTAGCTCCATGAAATCCCTGCAAGAGAAAGACACACACAAGCAGACACACACAAGGAGAAACACATGAAATTACTCTTTGTTGTTTCACGTGGAAGTGAGCTGAGTGCAGCTGAGGGGGGTAAGGATGAAATGGGAGCAGACATCGCCTCTCCTATGGATCGAGGCAGAAATCCTGGGTAATGCCTAAATCAAGAACAATTCCCCCCCCAAAAAATAAAAAAGCTCAAGGGAAACTAAAACTTCTAACCGAACCAAAACATTAAGTGTAGCTTGAAACTTCAGCTTCTTCCCTAAACTGCAAATGCACACACAGATAAACATGCAAATGGAACGAAGACGTAAAAATAGACGGAAACTTACGGGTGCGCCGTCAGCTCCTGGAAGCCCTCTGGGCCCAGGGGCTCCGTCTTTACCCTGCGAGTCGAAAGTCAGTCGCGTTGTGTGAGAGCCAAAATAAAAGGATTATAATAAGCCTCGTTACACCAATACGACATATTGAAATCTACCGGCGGTCCCGCTACTCCAAATCCCGGCGGTCCCTGTGGCCCAGGGAGTCCCATATCACCTCTTGAGCCCTGTGAACAAAAAAAAGACACAAAGCAAAGTTTGAAAAAAATGTTTTTTTTTGTTTTTTTATTTCTTTTTCAGATTAAAATGCCATAGTTTTAATTAAAAAAAATCTACCTTTTCCCCTGCAGGGCCAACAGAGCCTGGCAATCCTGTAACACCAGGGGGTCCCTCAAGAAATGAACAGGTTAGACCAGGTTATAAATGTGCAGCATGGTAAATACAGAATGTGAAGGTGGAAGAGAAACTCACTACTAGTCCTGGGAGACCTCTTGGTCCCTCAATGCCCTGGGAAAAACATTTTAAAAAAATGGAGCAACAAGAGAAGAAGCGGGAAGGTTTTTAATGTAAGTAACAGAGTTTTTTTTTTTTTTTTCTACAATTAATCAAGTGATTAGCTGCTGAGAAGTTTGTTCAACTTCTGAGAAGTTGAATAAATAAACCATCAGAGAACATTGATGGATTTTAAGCACAAAATGTTTAGAATCTTTTTCCTGTTTTGCCATAACGCAACCGTAAACCCAAGTGCATTTTCTGGGTATTTTCTGGGTACTACACGTTTCAGATTTTTACTTGTAAAAATAATATAATGTTCCTTCGTCTTCACAATCCTGTGCTATGTGTTGCTCTCTCTGATAAATGTGGAGAAAAAAAAAAAAAAGCAAGTCTTACTTGTGGTCCCGGAAGGCCCACTCCTGCAGCCCCAGCATCGCCCTGTTGAGTGCAAGATGCACCACAAATCAGAATGACAGCAGCATAGTAAATAAAGAAATAAAATCAAATCATACATATATATATATATATATATATATATATATATATATATATATATATATATATATATATATGTGTGTGTGTGTGTGTGTGTGTGTACAATTCACACCTTGCTTCCTTTGGGACCAGAGGGACCTTGCACACCTGGTAAGCCAGGATTTCCCTAAAGAGAACAAATGCAAACTGAGACTTTGAGCAGTTGAGCAACTCTCAAAGTGCAAAGCTAAAATTAAACTGAACTCCGGCTCACAGTTTTGCCAGGTTTCCCCGCTCCCGGGGACCCAGGATCTCCTTTTTCTCCTTTGGGCCCTGGCACAGCTACACCGTCACCCAGCGCCGTGCCAGCAGACGAGCAGCTAGTACATGAATCACCCTGGCAAAACAAACCCAAAGCATGATACACAAACCTTCAGGATGAGTCAAAGCGGCATATGTTTGGGAGCTGGGACCAATATGGCCGGTTTTTGAACAAAATATATTAACATCCCAACAGATTGGATTAATAGCGGTTTTAAAAAAAAGCAGACAAAGTCTACATTTTCAACTCGTGTTAATATTCCTGAATAAATCATCAAAAGAGGCAGATCAGACTGCGGCACGTAGAACTGAAATTTTCTGTTAGCTTGTAATTTTTACCTTCTCTCCCTTCAAGCCCCTTAATCCATCCTGACCGGGGTCTCCAGGCAAACCCGGGACTCCAGGGTCACCGTTCAATCCCTTGTCTCCCTGTTCTCCTTGCTCGCCCTGGTCGAACACAAAACACACAATCAGAAACCCTTCTGGTTTTGACGGGAGCCGTGCATTTTCTGTTCAAAAATAATAGAGCCGACAGAATGGAGCTTAGTTATCGACTCCTGATTTATTCATTTCTCTCAAATAATGAAAGTGTCTCCAGCCTCATTATTTCAACAACTGTCTAGTTCCACTTTGAAGTTTGGGTTGAGAGATTCCAGTGAATAAGGTAATATAAGGTATACTGGCTTTGTTTTTGACAGATTTTTTTTTTTTTTTTTTTTTTCTTAGATTTTTTTTTTTTTCAGGATGATAAAAGTATTCCAAATAAGTTTCGAGGTATAATGTGCAGCAGATGCTGGACTATTTGTACCCCAGCTGCCTGAAATATTAAAACAGTATCACTTCAACTGATCCTTGTGCTGGTGTTACTTATTCAAGACTCATTATCAGTGTCTCTCTCGCCTTTCTTGGGCGTTTAAATGCATGATTTAGAAAGTGTTTGGGCAATGAGTTATTTAAAAAGACCGACACAATACCCAGAAGGCTTGATTAGCTGGTTTTAACTTAGCAGCCAAAAAACAGGGCTCCGAAATGTTTGGAATATGTTTCTCAGGGGTTTGGGGTTTTAGCAGCCGGAGCACAAAGTGTGTAAATACACGTACACAATATAATAGAAAACGTACCTTTTCTCCCTTAGCACCAGACTGGCCTGATGGTCCCTGTTAAAAGTAACAATGAGCAATCACTCAGCTGCAAGCACGGAGCAAACGTCTGTCTGGTCACACTGAGTAAAAACCGTCGACACAAAGCGACGGGCAGAAGCACAAGACAGTTTAAACCGAATAGGTGGCAGAAGCCAAAAGAGATTTTTGTCTTTTACTATTTAGCTGCTGTTCTGTTGTTCGGCGAGATTCCCTGCATATTATGTTTGCACGATGAGCATCAGGGTGGATTTTGCCCTCGGGGTTGAAATCTTTCCAGCATCGTAAACTTTTCACTCTTCCAGATGGCGGCTAATCGGTTTTACTCCGTAGCAGAACAAAGAAGCTCGTCTCGTGGAATTAGCTAAAAATGTTATTTTGTGATGCCGGTTCAGCTCGTACACGCCGGACTGATTATTTGCACTTAAACTGGCTTATGACTGAGGGGACTTATCCGTGTTCTCTTTAAGCAGGGTGTATATTTCTCTTTGTTTAATGAGGATATAAACAACAAGGTGCAATAAAAACCACTGGCAAAGATCAATGACTGTGACTCGGATTAATACACTGTAGCAATGGCGTTAATCCATCTATTAGTACGATAAGATTCTTCAGGAACATTTAGAAAAAGTTGTTCTTCCTATTGATATTTTCAAAACAGATATACCTGTTTGCCTTCAGCTCCAAGTCCTGGAGGTCCAGGGGGACCTGGAGGGCCGGGTTCACCTTTTCTTCTCTCAAGCAGGCCACTCGGTTGACTACCAACCTCTGATGGCTGGCACACACCACAGTTGCCCTGCGGATGGACAAAGACTTAAAGTCGGTCTGCACAGCAACACGGGTAATGACTCCTTCAAACAGTCACACACACTCACCTGCTCACCCTTTGGGCCCGGCGTTCCCACACCGGGCTTCCCGTCTTCACCCTGTTGAAAGATCAGGAAGGAATCGTCACCTTTTTTCTTTTTCCCTCCATATTTCCACCATTTTGTATTTTTTTCAATAAGTGTTATATAAAGCTATCACAAAATATGCACATCTAAATGAATGACATTGTACAGGCTTGTACATAAAAACCAACCAGAATTATTAAAGGTCACAGAGGTCAGTCACAGCTTGTATTCGCCAACGCTTACATGAATAAATAAATAAATACTCTGAGGAGGAAATCTATTTTTCATGTTTTCAACTGTCCAACTGATGTGACTTTGAAATCAATCCAGACAATTTTACAGTTGCCTGGAATGAGTCATGTTCACGTCCTGGTAGCTCTATGGTAAAGAGCTTAGACACTTCCATGAAGTCGCCTCTGAAGTCAGTTGATGAAAGCACAAAAAGCATTGAATCAGGAATGGTGTGATATCAAATTTCATCAATAATTTAAAGGAACAATAAAGTGAAAACCACTAACATTTTCCATCTCACTGCTCCTATGAGTTAAAATCATTTTAATGACACCAAAAGTTACTTAGTGACTTTAGCTAGTGCAACATGACATGGGCAGACGTGGTGCAGAAACTAATGAAGTGACACCCGTCACTCTTGTTAAATCACGCTCCTTTAAAGCTACTAAAGCTACCATTGGCAAACTGCAAGCAGTGTTTCCATTAAGCAGCTGGCTGCAGGCTGTCCTTAGCCAGACTAATTAACCTGCTAATATCAGCTCCCAGCATTGTTCTATAAAAAGAGCAGGGCATGCTTTTATTTAAAAAGTACAGCTGAATTGAACAGGTTTCTAAAGATTACAAATACACTATTTGAAGGTTATACATTTTTGCTTAAGTTTACGTATCAAAATGGTTTGTTATAGGTTGTTTTTTTTTTAGGTTCATTAAACTACAGTACCATAACAAGTGTTTCCCATTTAACAAAAGTAGCCTATCCATTTTTTTCCACACTTAAATGTTTAGGATTATCAAAAATATATATCAAAGACAACTAGAATAAATTAAACAAGTAGCTGTCGAATTAAAAAACAAAGAAATCGATTCACTCTAATAAAAAGACTAAGCCACACTTAGAAACAGCAACCGCTATCAAACATATACAATAAACTGTCAACTATTTTTTCCAAGTCACTCCAGAGGATTTCTGGCACTCATTTCCTTTTCCTAATTGTTCGTACTCCAGTCAAATTGGAAGGATTGTGAGTATGAATGAACTTCTTAATCTCATGGCACAACAGCTTATCTTGGATTTTAGTCCAAGATAAGATGGACTAAAATCCAGCTTATCTTGGACTAATTGGGCCAAAATTTTGCCCCAATTTTCTCCAAACTTGACTGATCAGTTTTCAAGTCCCTTAAGTCTGTCCACTTAAAGGACAGTGGCCAGACATTATCCTTGAAAGTTTTCTGGTGGCTAGCACCATTTATGATTCCATCAAGGGTGGAAAGCAGCAGCACCCTATTTTTTTTTTCAATCAGTTGTCAACACAATTCTGTCACATCTTGTTTTCTAGGACATCCAAAAGCAGCACTGAAGTTAACTGCAGTGGTAGAAGTGCAAAAATATTCCCTTAAGTATCAAATGTCGCACAAGTTTATCAAAGTGTGATTAAAAATAAAACTAGTTTGAAAATGGGAGAAAGAGATTTCAAAAGCTCTTGTCAGGACTTAGAATTATCTGTATTCAGCTATTGTCAAGGAATGCATTTCTGCTTACTGCATAGTTTCAAACTAAATTGCATATTTAGCTGGGGGGTTTTTTTGTTTGTTTTTAGCCAAAGTGTCTTGGAAGAACTAGCAAAACAGAGAGAGGAGAGGACTGGACCTTTGTTACTCTGAGAATACAAAGGCAGAAGCAAACAAAAACAGCTAGAGGGTCTCCAACACCCACTTCACAACAGCCTTATGCTTCTGGATCACTGTCAAGTCAATCTTAAGCAAACTTTCTTATTATCTGTAAAAGGAAATTCTGTTCAACAATGTTTCATCTGGCCTGTGTGGAGACACCAAAACATAGCTTTTATTTTAATATTTACAGCTGTAAAGCCTGAATTCATTTGAAGAGTTCATTTAAGCATCCATCTCCTTGGACACAACATGAAAAAGTGCAAATAAAATGAGAAAAAAAAAAACAATTAGGAAAGAAAATGTAAATGTAAATGTAAAATGCAAAGTTGCGAAGGCTGTTATCCACTTCTCCTACCTTTGCACCTCTCTGTCCGTCCTTCCCCGCAGCCCCCCTCGGTCCTGGTTTCCCCTGTTTGCATGGCCACATTTCATTACATTACATCACCAGGTTGAGAAACAGAAAAAATAAAAAATAAAAAAATCAGATTCAAAGAACTGAAGCTGGACTCACCGGCTTTCCGGCAGCTCCCGCGTTGCCAGCATTACCCTGCAGAAAGGCAGAAAAAAAAAAAAAAAAGATCACTGAAATTCCCCATTTTGATAAAAATGGATTGCTTTTTAAATTGGTAATTCACCCCTCAGAGTTAAGTTGCACCCTATGGGCAGCTATGTCAGATGATATTGGTTTTTGAGTACCTTGGCTTTTTGCTAATAAGCTTCCTGCTGAGAAAAAAAATCCCTATGGGAGACAGTTTGGGGCCTTAAAATTAGTGCACCGCTGAGATTATCTTCTCGACGCAGTCATTAAGAGCCGTACCGATTGAATGGGGCTTCACTTATACAATCCATATTTATTACTTTGCAGCACTATGTCTATATGTCTATATATATATACACACACACAAGTTAACTACCTTCTCTCCTTTAAGGCCAGGTGAACCCACGTTTCCTGGCTCCCCCTGGGAAATAAAAAGAGGAAAATACGTTACTTTAATGAGGCACTTTTTTTTTTTTAACCCTAAAAACTATTTTCTTACTTGCTCTCCTTTCTGCCCAATCCCACGTTCCCCCTTCTCTCCCTTCTGCTGCAGAGTTTGAGTTTGGCCAACCGGGATGAACTTGGGTGGGAGTTCTCCGAGGGTAGGGCACACGGAACACTGTTCTCCCTGAAACCCACAGAACACATGTGAAATCTTCAGATGTCGACATCTTATTCTGTGACCTGCAGATGTGTTCTTGCAGTCAAACTTTTTCACGTTTTGTCCTGTTACAGCCACAGACGTCAAAAGCTACCACATAATGGTAAAATGTAAGAACAATAACGGCAACAATAAAAAACGGTTTTCAATTTTTTTCCAATGAAAACATGAATCTGAAATGTTCCAGGGAAAGATGAAAATCACACCAAAATAAATTTTAAAAACGGAAACTTTGTTTGGTTAGCTTGGAAAAGTCCTTTAAGAACAATTGCAAAGCTCCATTAAGTAATTTGGAAGCTATATCTGGCTGACAACTTAATGGAGAAAGCTTCTGAAGCAGAAGATATTTAATTTCAGGGGTAAGACAGACACCACACCAACCTTTTCTCCTTTGGCGCCATCTGATCCGCGTTCTCCCTGCCAAAACATACAAAAAGCACAGAATTCAAATTAATCCCGGCGCATGCTGCCAAGGCAGCTTGCGCAGCAATGTCGCGTCTGAACACGGCACTGGAAGCGTTGTGGTCACTGCAATTAGGCAGATGTCGATGCATATCGGTAAAGTGCGAGTGTGGGTGCAGCGTGGACTTGGGGTCATAGACTAAAGCTGACTGACTTTTGCAGTTGCAGACCTACATGACGTGATGTTCTGAATGTGGGAGTCTGAGTGGACTTTTCTTCTTTTTTTTTTTAGCATTTTGTGCAGTTTGTTTCAGCTAGTTTTGCTTGCATCTGCTCTGGGAAGGAGTGTTCACACAGTGCTGATGTTAGCATATCTGAGGAATGCAGATGAGCGTGTATAGGTCACACTTGAGCAGAATATGAACTAAGTACACATTCAAACAAACAGGTAAGAAACCCCATACCTTCTGTCCCGCTTTGCCATTTGCACCTTCGACACCCTGTCAAAGAAAAAACAGGGGTGGGGAAAAGGAAGTAAAAAAAAAAAATGAACAGATGTCAGGATGTTTGTTTGAAGGGAAGCTATACTCTAAGGTCTGTGAACAAGTTCTTTTTTTTTGTCTTTTTGCTTTCTTATGTTACATATTTCAGGTAATTAAATAAGTGAAATTGAGTTTAAAGGCTGATGGCCACAAAATACTTCCTCAAAAGTCTTGGGGATTATCAAGAATTTGATTCATTTTGGCACATGTGACGGATATTTATTTATTTTACTTGGTCAGCATGAATTACTGTCTCACAAAGGCCTTTACTTGCCAATATTCTCTCATCACAGAATCACGAACACTGACCTATCTGTGGTAAGTGAGGCCCTGCAGCTCTTCATATATCAATCCCGACTCTTTTGTGACCTCCTGGATAAGTAGTTGACGAAGAGTAATTTTATCCCTGCCATTTATTGCGAAGGTTCACAACCAGTCTACGTTTTTTTTTTTTCCTCTATGTATGAATAGTGGCTGCAAGTGGTGTTCATAGCAGTCTCAAAGCTTTAGAAATGGCCATGCAGAACATTTCTTTGTACCCAATGTGCTCTTTTTATTTATATATATATATATATATATATATATATAGCTCTAGCTGACATGGTTCTACTTGAGCTAAGTGAAGGTCTGACAGTAACCAATTGTGGAACTGGCAGGTAAAACCGAACCGAAAATATAGCTATTTTAAAAATTATCAAGGAAATTTCAACTTAAATGAAATCATTTCAAAGCACCTTTTTTTTTTGCATTCCGTCAGTATACAATTTCCGATGCCAACATCTTGTTAATGATCTGAAACTTTTAAGTATGACATAAATGCAAGCAAGAAAGAAACCTTTAAGGGGCGAAGACTTTTTCCAGAGCACTGCAGCTCTCCTTTTTCGTCTGCTCTACCTTGTTCTCTCTCTCTGCCTTAACCAGGTATGACAGATTGATGCTGGCACTATTGGAAATCGTTGCACAGAAAATCTCATAAGGCTAAAGATTTATATTCTATCACCCCTCCTCCACAAATCATTCCCCATTTCACCTGCTGGAGTAAGTGGGAGTTATAAAAGGTAAAAAAAAAAAAAAGGGGGAGAGAGGGAGAGGAAAGAGGGAGAGAGAGAGAGAGAGAGATAGAATTTGGACTCACTGGAGGGAAAGAACGAACGAACCCCTCGTCTTGGTGACTAAACTTTTGACAGCGTATCACGTCTTCTCCCGTTAAGCTGCCGCAGCGCCGCAAGAATTACAGGGGCACACACAACCCCGAGGTGGAAGTAAACGCTGCGCTTTTCCTCAGAACGATAAGAAAGATTAAATATACACGCCATCACACGAGCGCTCAGGGTTCAATTGTCAGCTACGACTCACACCCCTATCTACAGCTCTAATAAAATATGTAGCGAGATCATAAAAATGTAAAACGGAACATCCCGGCAGGTGCGGAATACATTACGCGGCAAGTCAAACTGGTGTACTTACGGGGAGTCCTCTCTCTCCGATCCCCGGCGATCCGGGCTCTCCTTTAGGACCGGGCTTCCCCTGCAAGCCGACGTCGGCTGGCAACACCGGGCACACTTCGCACGGGTCACCCTGAAGATTTGCACACAAATTAAACACGCGGCGTGTTGATCGGAGCGCAGGGACGTGCAGATGAAACGCTTAAGGATTGTGCTAATGTGGCATTATTAAACCTTCTCTCCTTTTGGACCTCCTGGGCCTCTTGGTCCCTGGGAAAACAACAGAATCCCTGTCAAACACTGATGTACCAGTTCGTCATTACAGTACAGTCTGTTGGAAGCCGGTGCATGCACTGCTGAATATCAATCAATGCTTAAAAGAGTCTCTCACCGGGTCTCCTGGCAATCCGTCTTCTCCTTTCGGTCCTGGGTCTCCCTGTAAATGGAAAGTTGAAACTGAATATGATAGCATGAAACATGAATTGATCTCATCAGTAAGGTTAGCTTGGAACTGGCAGCAGGATCCCCAAAAGAGCAGGAAAAGTTGGGCATGGTTCTCTCTACCCTTGTTCAATTAGCCACCATGGTCAAAATGTCTGCTTAATGACTACAATTTATTTTAAACAATAGATTCAGAAAGAAAACTACTCTTGATTTTGAGTGTTACAGCGAAGGTAAAGGTTAGAAGAAAAGAAAAGAAGTTGGACTAATTTAATAAACTATGTGTCACACAGACAAATGTCATAAAATTTGACTGTTTTCATGTTAACAACTACATTGATTTGGTTGTTATTATGCTACACTTTACATACCAGAAACTAGACCTTTTTTTTTATTTTTTATGGCAATTTATTGTTAAGGATGTAAAGAGATTATGTGGCACATGATAAAAAAAAATATTGAGATATGGTATTGAGTATTTCTATTCAACGTGAAGTATGTCTTGTGATGTGCTCTCCAGATTAAAACTCTGGCACAAACTACTGCTTATGTCCCATTGCATCTAATCTAGACCCTCCGAACGGGGAGGGATTTAATAGTGCTCACCACCAATTTGTTCCAATTCAATGTACCAGGAGTCAGAATTGAGTTGGTAAAAAGGAAATCAAATATTCTGCTTTCAACTCAGACTCAACTGTAAAAGCTCATCTTTCGGTCTAGATTGATTTCTTTTTTTTTTTTTTTTTTTACATTTTGGATGTCCAAACATCAGGACGTGAATGCGTTCACTGATCAGCACAAATATTGTTTGCGATAAATGCGATCGCATAGTTTCACCCAAGTTTATACTCTTTTGTTAAAAATTATTCAAAGTGTACAATTGTTTAGAAAGTAAACATAAGATTACATCTCTTTTCACTTTTAAAGAGTGTTAAAACCTGCTACAAATGCAGCATGTCACTCATTTCATCAGACAGTTTAAGCAAACAGCCTACCTTCTCACCTCTACCATCACCAGGAGGGCCCTGTGAAGATGAGTAAATTATTCAATTTACTCTTCAGTGCATTATTATTATTTTTTCTTTACCAAATCTTCTAACGTGGAAAAGTGCTCTCTCACCGGTGGACCCGGTTTTCCGAATCCTGGCAGACCCGGAAGTCCGGGCTTCCCTGGCTCCCCAGCTAAGCCCTCCGGACCCACTGATCCCGGAGTGCCCTGGGAAAACAAACCCGGCGCAGGTTCTATCAAATCCAAACTGGGCTGCATGAATGTGACAGGCAGGCTGATGATGGAAAGCCCAAGAGTTAAGGCAGACAAACCTTCTGTCCCTTGGGGCCGACGACGCAGATGGACCCTCCCCGACCCTGGGAAACGGTGACAGACAAGAGAAGAGAGTGACATCATCAGCGCGTTCTGAGAGGGAATAAAACCAGCGCTGCTGGTGTTAAAGAAAACATGGAGCTCGTCTCCTTTATAGAAATGTTCAAGTCTTTTAGATTTCCCTACTTTATTGAACATCGTTCACCAGAAGGAAAAAACAGACAGGGTTATCATAAAGCCTGTGAGATGAATTGTCTTCAGTGGTGCATGTGATATTTTCTGCCTGCCTGACTCAAGCCACATTGACGAGCGCATTCATTTTCAGAATGTCAGATGGATGGGAGGAATTGAAAACAAAATCTATTCCCCTCCCCTGCCCCACCAAATCCATCTGGCTACAACAAGCTTGTAGCTTAGAAAACTGCTAAATGTGAGTTCGTCGGATGCCAGAAAAAAAACAGCTGGAATCTCTTGGCGCCCTGCTAAGGCTGTAATTTGTTCCTCAAAAGTTTTCATGCGTTCGCGGGCTCATTGCACCATTCAGGGGGGGAGATTAAAAGGTTTAAGTCTTCCTGAATAGACGGCTGCCTGTGTGAGAGACAAACGGCCCAGTCAATGAGGCGGCATTGATTGTGCAAGCTTTGTTGCTCTAGCCTAATCTAACAGGCATTAGCAGGTTGACTTAACGCAACAGGAGCGGGCAGATATCAATGAGAGCCCGAGTTTAGAGAGCGGTACCGCATGGGTTTACCGAATATCCGCTTAGGCCTGATAAAAGCAACCGCACGGCAGGATGAGTGAGCATCTCTCAGAGATGTCCTCTCTTATTTATGCGATTGTAAAAACCGCATTTTGACCTTACTGTCTGACTTGCTCTAGATGTGTTGAAGAAAACAAGCACGAAACACCTACATCCTTCCCCGGTGTTCCTGTCAGGCCTTGCGGACCGATCTCCCCTTTCTGACCTTTTTCTCCCTGGACAAAACCACCAAGAGAATGAGAGGTTAGAATCTAATTGGATGATCATTAGGGGGTTACGTCTTGATTATTAATCACCAAAAGTTTCTTCAACTGTTCACCTTGTACCCAGCTGCCTGACCCCGGTTGGAAGCCGTTCCCTGTGGAGGCAATCAGCGGAGATAAGGCCAAGATCAATGACTTGGCTCTAAAAGAAGACAAAACGTACACTACACACACACACACACACACACACGCCCACACACAACCTGGAGCATAGCAAACATAGTAAGCAGTCAGTAGCCTGCGTGGGCTAACACCAGGAGGCTATTGCCCCATTTACACAAAGTCTCAGAGAAAGGAGCTGGTCTTTTCTAAAATTGGGGAAACCTCAGAGGTTTTTTCACATTTTGTCAAAAATACAACTACAGACTTTTTATGGCAGCAGGACACAATTGCCAAGTCCAAAAAATATATATTTATGTTTTTTCAAAAAGGGATCTAAATCCCATGGATTTGTATTCACTGTGACGCCCAGAAAAAGAATAGCGCGGCTATATAAAGTGTGTAGTGTGGCAGAAAAGCGGGGGAAAACAAACAGAATAGGTGATCCAATTTGCATATATTCCATTAATTGGTCAGAAGTAATCAAAGTAGGTTTATCCAAGTTGATTTATTATGTTTATTAAGTTGACAAGTCAGGCAAATGTCAACTTAATAAACATCCAAAAAAATTTAAGCTCAATTTAATTAACCGTGATTAAATAATCGTGAGCTGCATTCTCTGTCCTACTTTATGTTGGTCTATAACATAAAATCCTAACAAACTACATTGAATTCTGTAGTTGTAAAGCGCAAACTGTGAAAAAAAAAATGTTGAGGGGGTGTAAATATGTTTACAACTTGTATGATACGCATGTTAGTCGGTTGCAGCTTACTCATTAAATCCCACTTTCGTCCTGCAGGATCACACGTTAACACTCTTGCATGGTTAATAAACACTCTACTGGTAAAATAAAAATACACAGAGAGCAACAGGGTTTCCAGCTGCATAATTAATACTGTGGCTGAATGCCTGAAAAATGAGGCTCTGCATAAGAATCAATCCAAAAATGCTGAAGGAGGTTTAGCTGGGTTGGAAAGCGCTGGTACGTGTTGCTGCAACCTGTGACTGAAACTCTGGCACTCACCGGCTCGCCTTTCTCGCCCTTCTGGCCCCTGGATCCATCTGTGCACTGAGGTTAGAGACAGTTGGTTGGCACAAATTTTCACAAATTACTTTTGGCAAGAAGCAGGAGAAAAAGCAAAAGGGCCAATCCTAGCTCACTGTAGGCTATGCAAAAAAAACAACAAAAAAAGGAAAGGCAAGCAGAATGAGCGTGGGAAATGACTAGTTTACTTACTGGACCTGAGCAACCATCGCCCTGAGACACAGAGAGATGGAGAGGATGGATGATTATTCGTGAATGTGTCGTGAAATCAGAATGCTGTATCGTGTTGCTATTTGGTCAAATTGCTTCCCATTAATTAGTTTCATTCATTTTAGCTTCACATTATATCTACATCCTTCGTACTCACCCGGCCGCCTTTTCCTCCAAGGTTTACAACCTGAAAAACACACACACAGGGAACATGGTAACGTAGCTCTTGGATTGACATTCCTAACATGATCTTACAGAAAGAAGTAAAGATCAGCGATCCTTACATTTTCCTCCTTACTCAGGAGTAAACAACCAGCACACTACAGACAGACACAGAGAAAGAATAAATTAACACTGCTTTGGGCTTTATGAAGAAATTAAGTCTTGTAGTTTCCACTGTCACCTGACAGAGGCACTGTTGCACAAAATTCCACTTTTCAAAATCTCCCTGCTGCTACATTATGCTGCTAAAAGAGGATGAGTTGTATGCAAGTGGGCACACACACACACACACACACACGCGCGCACGCACACACGCACGCACACACATCTCCCGTGGGAACAGGAGATCAATAGGAATGTCTGATTCCCACAGCACCGGAGTGAGCAGACCAGCTGCTCCTGCAGGATGGTACAAAAACATGATCACAGTCACATGCACACACCAAATAAGGACAACAATTATAAATAACTGAAGCGTTTTTTTTGTTTTTTTTTGTTTTGTTTCGTTTTTCGTTTTTTTTGGCGGAAGCGGGTAATTAAAGCTGAATTACTGCAGCCCGTGTTTCTGGGAGTCTGGCTTTCACACACCAGGAAGTTTCCAATATGCTGAAGTTGTGACTATGCGAGCTTGCCGAGACGAAAGCGAGTCAGAGAAAGAGAGAGCGAGAACGGTTGTAACAGCAGAGACAACATGTAATTCTAGCTCTTGCCTTTATTCCCCTCTTCCTCTCACACGCTGCGTATCTATCAATGGCTGCCTGAACCAGCTGCAGTGGCAACTCACTCTTTCCATGTTCTCATTCGTGATTGAACGCAGCTTAAAAAGATCTACTAAAAGCCTACGGAGTACTTTATTTATTCCCAATGTTGCATTACAAAGCAATAAAAAAGAAAGACTGCTCTTATGAGCTCATATTGCTGATGTTAGTGCTGTTAACTAATTCAGATAGCTAATAATGTACACACAAACACATCCCCCAATATAAAAGTTTAAAGTTTGCATATTGACTCTTAATGACAACTTCACATGTTGCCATTAAGAGTCTACAATGAAGATTAAGTTAAAAGTGAACATCTGAATAGACAAGAGGAAGGATTATAGTGACTTTGAAAGTGGGATGGCTGTTAGTGCCCGACTATCTAAGCAAGCTAAATCTATTTCATGAAGAATTGTAGCAGTTTGGGGCAAAAGATGGTCTCAACCAGTACTACAAGGTGGACCTAATACAGTGGTAGATGAGTGTGTTGCTAGCCAAAGCGGTCACAGAACCATCTGTTTTCTGTCAAATCTGTAGTGAACATTAAATACTTCAAACTTCTCCCTTTTACTTGATTGTTACACTGAATTTCATTTGCTCAAAGTTTGCTCCTACTTTGTTTCTTTGTCTACTTTGTTTCTTTGTGGTTTAGAAGGTAACAGCTTTTAAATATTGATGTTTCTGTCAAGTTTGATAGTTTTTTATAATCAGGACATTAGAATCAAAAATTCAAGAACATTTATGTTCATTAAAAAGATCCTCCTTTAAACAATCTTTTGCTTTATTCTTGATCAAAAAGAACATCATACACAATCCTTTTTTGTAGATTTTAGTGGGTCTTTCTTTAAAAAGAAGAGACTAGTTGGCTTTTATTAGCGCCAAAGCAGGTCTGGACACACCCTAATCTGTATCCTACATATGACAGATTAATATTTGTGCATATTAATATTGGGTGTGTGATGAAACCCTAGTCTTAAAAAACAACGAAAAAAACAAAAAAACATCATATCATAATGTATGCAGACTATTTGTTTTGAATGACCTCAAGAAAGCAACTCTTAAATGCAATTGAATCTTGCATTTGTATAAATATTTAAATCAGTCCAAATCGATGACACACTTTGGTGAAACCACTGGTTAATCATCAGCGTGGATAGACAAAACCTCTCCAAGTATTTAAAGGGAAAAAGGAAAAAAAGAAGCAAAGGGCTTGGAATTACAAATACCAACAGAAAACAGGACTAAACGTAAAGTGCTCTCGGTAAAGTGCATGGGGAGGTTAAGCTTTGCTGCCCAGTGGCGACTTTGTGGCCGACTCCACAGCGGCTAGCTGTACCTCATCAAAAGACTGGGGCACTGAGCCGTGTACACATGGTGGAGAAGCAGAACCTTTTTTTTCTTTTTTTTTTTTAGAGATGGGTCCAGGACCTCTGATGTCATGACAAGATGAAAACAGGCTTTCAGAAAAACAACTTATCCAGAGTAGAGCCCATCGTGTGTGGTATAAAGACCGCTGCCGGTATGAAACTGTAACAGACTGTGTCCCATTGGGAAAGACATCTGGTGAGTAAAGGTGTTTCTTATTGAAAGAGGCACCTCATTATTTCAATACAGGCTAGGAAAATACAATGTGTCTGTCAGACGCTGCATTAGCAGGAAGGATTTGTGCATTAATTAATGATATGCTTTTAAGTAAACCACCGTAAAGACAGGAAGTACAACAGGAAGTGTGTTTGGGAACACGATCGTCGTAACGCAGAACAAGAGAAGACCCAAAAACCTGAGTCTAAAAGGCTCACATTGATGCAGCAGTACAAGGACAATCGATTCATTCCTGTTGAAGGAACCATCCATCGTTAAGCAATGTTGGAGGGAAGTTAATGTTCCTGTCCTTGTTGTTCCCGGTGAAGATTTCGGGAGAGTTAAAAGTGACCATCAGGGGATGGACACGCTCCTGGATTCATCCCATAATCACAACTACCTAATTACATCCTAATCCTACCCATTTCTACCAGAACACATGGCCAGAAAGGTAAGGTCAATGCATCTTACCTGTCTTCAACAAGTTGTGAGGAGATTGTTGAGTTAATGGTTGTAAAACAGCTATGCAAATATTAATGTTTTGCTGTTTCTATAGATGCAACTCCTTACCCTGATTTAGATCATCTAACCTTCATTTTTAAACTTTTTTTTAGCAAACAGGAGAAAGTTATGAAACCATTTTTGGCATTTGAACCAATTCATTGTCATGCAAGACAGTTTTGTAGCTTTTCTTATTACGATAGCGGAAAGCCTTGGATTGGATTTATCCAACTGCGGAGGCCACAATGTTTTGATAAACGCAGCAACATGTCGGGGTGGAATTACGGCCCGCGGCGCATTTAAAGCAAAGAAATCGTTTATCCCTTTATGTCCCATGCACAGCTCACTCTCTAAACTTGGCGGATGTTAACATCACAGAGGTCAGTATTATTGAAGTGTGGAAGTTTTTGATTTACTCCAATATTTGCGCTTGTTCCGCTCTAGATGGGAGAACTAGGACATTTGTATTGGTTTGACATTGAAGTCACTGTCAAATACTTGGCGAAGTTACTGTGCTGGGCCTTGTAAGCTTTTCGGCATAATAATTTCAAAATGTGAGAGGCTCTGGTGACGATGCCTAGCTATCAAAATGAAAGAAAAAAAAAAAGCATACTTAATCGTTTTTAAAATACAAATGTAACTCTTCAAAAGTGTGACCTAGACGTTTCTCAGACAAAGTGAATCACTTCGGAGCTTTTGTTAAACCTCACGGATTGAAAATGTGTCCTTCAAAACTTCTGACAATGTTTACGGATTACAGTCAGTGTTTCCCAGTGTATCTGGATCTGACAGTGCTTGTCAGCAGCTGCCAGGACAAACTATCATTTCCCCAAATGGGCAGAGTTGGAAAAAAAAAAAAAAAACTAGACAGAGATGCCTCAACAGCATGCCACTCATGGCCACTGAGTCTAAATTGGTAATTGAGTCGGACATTGATATAATTCATGAGTTTCCTTCCAGAAACACCAAAATGAAAAAATTCTGTCTTTCTAAGCTTTCTGATTTGACATATTACAGTGACTTTTTTAGCAACAATTAACCAATCAGCATTGCTGTCTTTTAACTTCAATGTTGTGGATAACTCTGAAACTGCAAAGTCAAATAACCCTCGATTGTGTTTGCATGGTCGCCACGGCAAACCTTTAGAATTGCTGTATGGATTTGTCTCATTTAATTGCACCCCCGATTTTAAAATCAGTATAGGACAATTTTTTTTTAATTTTTTTTCCCAGTATTTCCGAGTTGTCCTGAATGCAGCCTCATCTTATCCAAACGTTCTTTCTTTCTACAAACAGGTGGATTTATTTATCGGTGCTTAGAATGTCAGCCAACGAACAAGATAATACGCCGAAGTTTGGCAAGAAACATTATTGCTTGTCCACGCTACAGGTGAATGACGACTTCTCTCGGTGGTTTTGTCCTGGTCATGCCAGTTTTTTTTTTTTTAGTTTTTTTTTAATGTATTTATCTTTTTGATTTGTTTTGTGGTAATGAATATGTGGTAGCGTGTTATTAGCAAATAATATTTGAAACAGAATATATCCTTGAGCTCATAATTAAAGTTGTGTCAAATTACCAGATAAGCATCACTTGGCACTATCTGTTTGGAATGTGGCAATTACCTGCAAACTATATGAGTCACTTAACCTACTGCTAATGTAGCTGTTGACAAAAGTATTGCGTAGGCTGGCCTTAATTAGCGTCTGCACAGAGTGAAATTGTAGCGCCAAGGTCGTTTGATTGATCTCTGACTTTTTGCTAACATGATTTACTGTAGCCCTCTTCCTTAAGTGCCATGTTTGATTAAGCCAAGACTGCAGCTTAGCAACAAATCGCGAGCATGCAGATTTTCCTGAATTTTTATCCACTCCCGTCGTGTACGACTTGTGCTTTGTCCTGCAAACCAATGCCAAAGAAAGGGAACTACATTCTGGGACTGCACCACTGAAATTGCCTTTTTGTGCTGCTAAGAGATTTCTGCAGATTGATGGGAGCTGAGCCTTTTGACTCACACGACCATGAAGCGCAGATGTAGAGGGGGGGAAAAAGGCACAGAAGAATAGCTGATGAGGTATGACATGAACACTGGTGAAAATTGGCTCTTGACTGAGCTTCGGGATCATGCAGTAGAGGTAAATTTAGCACACATTCAGCCCGTTTATTAGCATAATAACATTAATTCATGAGCCTGCTCGGTGTTTGGGATAGCTGAAGAAGTGCATGGTATCCACCCTTCTAAATCATTCTTATCCAGCGGGTAAATGACCTTTTATCTCCATTGAAAAAAATAAAAAGAAAAAAAATCTGAGCTCTAATCTAACCAAATTAAATTCACTTTTATTTCCTTCCTCTAACACTATGGTGAGCCACGAGTGCCAACCCGGGTAATACCCCACACATTAAGGAAGTCAAGAGAGGCAGCCTGATACATTAGTAAGCACACACCGGAGCAACATAATGAAGCGTCTGGAGTTTTGCATTCTATTTGTGAACAGAGCCTGCCTATTGTAGGTGAGTGACAAAAATGAATAGGCAGAAGGAACACCCCAACTGAGACTGGTTGCATAATGAGGCGTAAATCAGTTTCTCAGTCAGTCAGCAAGTGTTCGAGAACGGCAGCAGGAGACGGCGTCAAATGCACAACCTGCTTAGCCTGCACATTGTCCTCTTGTTTTAATTTAAACAGAACATGCGACTCTCTGGACAGGCTTTCAGAGACAGCAAAAGACTCAATTCAAAGTGTTGCTCTAGTCCATCTGGAAAAAAACAACTTTTTTTTTTGTTTTTTTTTCCTAAGACAGCAGTAGGAAACTGGAGCACATACTGGGAACATGCTCCTTTCGCTTTGTGAACCGAAAAGTTTACAAAGCGGTCTTAGCTGGAGCCAGTTGTCCCGCTAGTCTCATTAAAAATGCAGCAATGTTAAGTCACGTGTGTGCGAGTGGGTGTGAATTGTGAGGCTTACTTTTTCTGCAAGATCCTTGGATGCAAAAATATCCTGTTGGTGGAGAGAGAAAAAAATAATGAAGGTCATCAGACGACGTTTTTGTATCGCAGGGAAGTTGTTGCAGTCCATCCTTTTAAATTTTGCATCATTTAGAGTCCATTGCATCAGATAAACAACAATAGAGAAAAAAAACAGGAGACATTTCTGTTACATTGATGTGTCATTAGGACTTATTCTGTACTGTATTTTTAAGAGAAAAAAAAGGATGAGCTTATGAAGAACATGAAGTACTGTATCCTATAAGCCCCAAGGTACGTAAAGATATAGACCCCCCCTGCTGTGTGCAGAATAGCAAATTGATTTGGAAAACAAGAGTCAACAAGGAAGTAAAGGAAGCAAGCAAAAGCTGAGTGAAAGCAATTTTACTCAAGACAGCAAAGGCAAGAAATAAGAGCAGTGGCATAGAGAAGAAGGGAAAAGCCATTTTACAGGTAGTGCTGAACTTCATCATAAAAACTCCAGTAGTCACACATAAGGCTTAAAAAAAAAAAAAGGCACAAAGGAGACTTTGGATCTTTTGAAGCCCGGATGACCTTTCAGTTGGAAACAGGGTTGAAAGCAAGAAAGTGTATTAAAAAAAAGAAATAAATAAAAAAGAAAAAAAAAAGAAAAAGAAAAGAGGCTTACAGTCCAGCAAGATAAAAAACACTGTGGGTGAGATTTGTCATATTTCAGGAAGGCAGCAACTGCTGTGACCCCCCACCCTCACACACACACGCACAAGCCCGTACCAAACTTTATTTGATGCTAGTTGCAAAGAAAGGTTGTTTGACATCATCAGAAGATGGGGTTTGGTACTGAGGGTCAGAGGAGTCAATTATACCTCTTGTATCCTGCTGCCTTGCCAGTGAGACAACCACTGCAAATTGCAACCAAACAATTGATATAGCCAATGTAACCTTACTGTAAATCTCCCCAGAAGGTTTACTTTTTTTGCATAGTATTGTTATTTAAACCTCTAGCAAGCTGAGTTACTACCATTATGAAGATGATAACACATTTGTCTAGATATTAGCCATACAAAGTTGACTCTTAATGGCATTCTACTTAAGGTTGATAAAAAAGTAAAAAAAATAAAATAAAAAATAGTGCAACTTACAAGAAGTCAATTGTACTATTGCGTACTTGAATTTAATTTGTCTGGTAAAGAAACAGCTACTTGGTACACTCTTCTCAAGATGTCAAATGCTTGAAAGTGAAGGCTAAATGTACAGACTTTCTGATTAATTTGGTTATTTATTATCACACCACATAAAAAGCACTTACAGATAAATTGGCATAGTATTTTCAAAAGCTCTAAAATTGAAAAGGCATACGAGACCATAATACTGCTGCAAAATAATAATATGAAGGAAACATCCTTCACAGGTAATATTGTAAATCACTAAAACACACTCTTTTTAATTATTATCTGCTTGAATAATTGCCGATGGACAAAAATCTTATTAGTCGTTCCACAACAAAAGAAGTCTTGATTTTGCTCTGAAGCAAATTGGTCCTTACTCCTACATTTCTAACCCTATGTAACAACCAACTGTGCTGCATTGTTAACAGTAGCTTGGAGGCAAACAAGAACAACAAGATGGAATTTGATTTCAGCGGAGCTTCTTTTATGTTTGTTTTTCCTATAACAGTGCTAAAGAAGAACTTTGCTTAGCACCTTCACTCAATTAATTTTATTCAGCCAACGTTGGTCAAATTAATTTCAATACAGTGCAGATTAGATACGTTTTAATTCACTCCAGTAGACAGAGGTTTAAATTCAGTTTCAATTAAGATTAGTCTATACTTTGCAAAAGCTTGTGTTGTTCATCTCAATGCAACAAATTTCACATATCATATTAAAGCCACTCAAAGGGCTCCTTGCACTTCTCATGTATTTCCACTCATATTTCAAAGAATTAATTTGCTCTTAATTACAGAATTTCAATTATTAAAATATAAACGTAAAGTTTTAAATAACATTACCAAAAGTAGGAATTTTTATCCACACTCTTGACTTATGTACACATATGAAATAAATATATTCAAATGACAAAAAGGCAGACAGAGCCTGTGTAATCAGTTCAGGAAACGGGATTTCACTTTTTGGCATAGTTCCTCAAAAGTGTCTTGAAAACACATCCACAGCCGTTGCTTTTTAAATTTGGCTGACCCCAAATGAACCATCTTGTTTGTTTGGTGAATACTCCATAAACAGAAGACACAATAAAGCATGCATGCATGCAGTTTAATGTGCCGTCACCTAGAAAGGCTTTGTTTAATGGAAGCTGGTGTATGGTTCAGTATCATCTAGGCTGCATGCTGGAATCTTGGATTTCACAGTCCATTTACTGTGTAGGAAACTAATAAACAGATACAAATAGAAAGTTTTCTAGTCACTTTGTGTGAATTTGTGTGTGTGTGTGCTAGCAAGTGTGAAAAAAACGATAGGTTAAAAAACAGAATCAGACAAAATATGGGGAATAATAATTAGGCTTTAACGAAATACTTTTTTTGTACAAAGGTTTCACACATTAAAGTCATTTTGTTGTTTTTTTTCTTTATGAAATTCTAGGTAAAAGGTTGATCTTTGCAAAGCATTTGGAGCTCTGCTGAAGACAGAGCTTCAGCAGAGCTCTGAAGCTCTTATACGGCGGAGAAAATATGTATTCAACATGTCAATATTTTTCACAGGAAAAGTGTTTTTTTTTTTATGCTGATTGATATCTAATCCACACATGCAATTAATTAGTCCACGAATTATGTACGATGACGAGCGAAAGATTGAATAAGCTTGGAACATATCAAGAAAAGGAGGCCCTGAAAGGAGTGAAAGGGATAACAATCTAAGAAAACATCCAAAATTTGTCAGTTTGGAAACTAATACTTAGATCCATATGGAGAAATTGATATCAGATGCTTTAGACGCTTGTCTGTGGTCTATAGAAATGGTTCTCATTACACAAGCATCACACAGGACATATGTGCCTGAATGAGTAACAGACATGTTGAAGACAGTTTGAGGTCGTTATTGCTACTGTAATGCAAAAAA